ATGCCGGTGTTTAGACTGCTCGTTCATTGCGGCATTGGGGCTTATTTGTCATCTCCACAATCCAATGTGATGCCTGCTGAAGCTCGAAAACATATAAACAAGGTAATCGATAGTTTCTTCTTCGTTTCTTTGATTAAGAATTTGCTGGAACTTTTGCAGCTAGTTTTCGTGTGTTTCATGCCATCGCTGATTTTCTCGAATTTAGCTCAAACAGTGACTGTCGAGAAGATGCTGGACTGGTAAAGTTTTCTCTTTGATCTTGTTTTCTCTACTGCAACCATAATCTTTCAGGTGGTTTATGCCGATAAATGTGTTGCTATGCTACATGATTGGCGCTGGAATTGGAGTTTGTATCTTCGATCACTTCAAGCCTCCTCCTCACCTGAGAAAATTGATAATTGCATGCTGTGCTACAGGTACGTAAGTTTGTTCTTTCTTCGTTCTTCATTTAGGCAACTTCACTTCTGTTCTTCAGGGAATTCGAGTAACTTGCCTCTAGTACTTGTTTCGGCGATTTGCGTTGAAGCAGGTAGTCCCTTCGGCAGATATGATGTTTGCACGGCAAATGGGATAGCTTATATATCCTATGGTCTATGGGTGAGGCGAAGAAAGCATATAAGATCCGTCGAGTCGCTTCTTACCGGGTTTTCACGTATCACAGATGGCCACAGTTTTGACTTGGACAGTCGTGTTTAATTACCTGAAGCCACAACCACAGCCAGGCTATGAAGAGGTTGATTTGCACGACGCAACGGAGGAAGCTCCACCTCGGGAGGAAACTCCTCCTGCTCGAGAGCTAAATGTCTATCCAGGAAGCCAAGGCTTTATGCCTCAAGTTGCAGGCTTGCAGGGTGTTCCTCGGGTGTTTATGAATACTCAAAGTCCGCAAGGATTTCCAGGTCCACAGGGGTACAGGAAATCTGGTTTTGGTGCTCAGAATCTCCAGGGCATGGACAGCTTTCAGCAAGGCTACCAAGGATTTCAAGCGCCTCAGATGTTTCAAGTCCCGGGTCAAGGATATCAACAGCAGGCATTTTCAGCAATGACTCAGGGTCCCAGAGGCTTTCAGGCTGGACCGAGGTACTCGCAAGGCTTCGAGGACTACAATGACGGGTTTATAGGCTCCCAGCCTCAAGGCTTTTTGCCTAGTGCTCAGGCATTTCCAACTCGTGGCCGGAATCCATCTATAGGCCTGGGGGACTTCCAGCAGTTCCAAAGCCCGCAGGTTCCTCAACTCCCGATGTCTCCTGACGGGTTCCAAAACCTCCAGGCTCCAGGCTTTCAAAATCCACTTCAAGCACTTTCATCTCCCCCTTCTCAAGCTCTCCAAGTTTATGGAGCTTCAACGACGTCCCAGGTACTCTGCTTATTTCGCTTTAGTTTTAGTGTTGATTTCGATAAAACTTTGGTGAGCCATCCAGCCGAGAGCAGCACAGCCACCACCTCCAACACCTCCTGAGCCAGCAGGCCCGCAGCCTCTTACCGATGATTTTTCTGTGGCCAACTTGCAACTATGGATGGAAAAATACCGCGTGAAAGAAGCCTTCACCCCTCCAACAGCGGCAGCTGTGAGTTAAACTGTAATGTTTTCCTCCCTCTAACATGCCTCGTATATTTTATAGGCGATAGCAATCCCCATTGGCGCTGTGCCGTTTTTTAGACATTTGCTGTATGGACACCAAGCTCCATTTCGGTTTTTAGGCGATGCTTTGGTCATCCTTGGGTAAGCTTTATTTTGTCGCCGTCGCACTCTCATATTCATGAATTCTACGTTGCAGGGAAGCTATGATTCCTTGCATGAATCTGTTACTTGGAGGAAACTTATCTCAAGGTAGACATACCTGAATAGCTTATAAGCTCGTAAGCTAAGTTGTTTTCGTTGGAGCAGGATTTGGCGCATCGGAACTGGCACTTGAAGTTGTCATCTCGATCATGTTGACACGACTGCTGCTTCTTCCCATAGCCGGGCTCATCGTTGTCAAGCTCGCGTTTTCCATGGGTCTAGTACCTGCGGACCCGCTTTTTCACTTCGTACTTTTGCTGCAATTTACCATGCCTACGGCTATCAACGTTGGTCAGTTTCAAAACCTCATCTATTTACAAATACCATCACTAAAACCTGTGGTAAGCAATGAAATCTAGTCTCTAGAGCGGCTTCCGTTATGACTTTCTCTTTTTCTTCTTTGTTTCTTTGTTTCGCTACAGGCACGATGACGCAGCTATTTGGTGTCGGACAAACCGAATGCTCGATCATTCTTTTCTGGTGCTACACATCGTCGGTTGTGTTTTTGACACTATGGACGATGATTTTTCTTGTCCTGCTCATATGAAGCCCAAAGGCTTCGTTTTTTATGGGAGTGTAAAGAGCGAGAAGTTCTCTGCAAGTCAGGTAGAAAACGATCTTGGCCAGCCACTTCCCATCGATTTTAATCTCACGCACTCTCCAACTTTGCAGGAAAAATTTTGGTACGTCCTTAGTGAGCTGAATTGTTGTTACATTTCTTTCCAAAATCAACAAGGATCACGGGATTTTTTTCTTTCATACTCTCAAGTTCGCGTCATCATCGTCTAATTTCTTCTATCCCACTACCACAAGTAAGTGATCTCTTATTCATCACGAAACCTCTTCTTCTTCCCCAACCCCGCAAAAAAAGAAGAAAATTTCTCAACGTCTCGTGAAAAAACGATGTTGTGTGGTTCTAACACGCTCCATTGGATGTAGCTTGCGGGAGTCTGTCGTAAAAGCGTCGATACAAATCGTCTACCTGAGTGAGGTAGAAAGTTCCCGGCCGGAGTCTAGCCAAGTCACTCACGGGAGTGAAGCCTTTGGCACCGTAGCGCGTCTCCATAAGCTCCATCGTGTGGACAAAGTCCTCTGGGGAGACCTGTGAATATATACACATGTAAGCATAAGCTTGGAGAAATGGTAAGCTACCTGGACACGGGATTCCAAGCTGCTTGATACTTCCATGCGCTTGGCGATGTTGGCGACTCTGAACAAGCCATCGCCCTGGCGAACGTGGATCGTGAACAGACTTGACGCAAGGCCGCTGCCGTAAGAAAACATCAAAATGGTGTTGCCCAGCTGTTGTGTCAAACACGGAAGCCTGTGAGGTGACGAGACAAAGAGCAAAACGATTGCTTGCGTACCAGTTCCTCGGCTTTGTTGTGGATGAGTGACGCAAGCGCTGCGTACAAGGCCGCGCAATACATGTTGCCAACTTGTTTAGGAATCAAAGTCGATGGGACAACCTTGAGGTTGTAATCTGGCTTTGCTATATCTTGCGTTGCCTGGCAGAAAAGAAACAGAATAAGTTTGGGCCATGAAGGGGGGAATCTCTTGCCTTTTCTAGATCTTTGTTCGTGTAGCTTTCATCCTCGGAAATATTAGCGAATGGCTTTAACTTCTCGTCCTCGGGCCTACAAGGAAAACTTCCGTTAGACTTTTCCACTCTTCCACGACGGGAAAGCAGCTGACCTTGTCTTTCGTTGGATATCGTTGTACACAAGCCGTGCAAAGCTTTTCTGCACAAGCTGCGTACACAAACAAGGAAACAACACGTCAAAACAATCCCTGAGGGAAGACCGAGACTACTAAGTACTGACCTTATTGTAAGGAGAGTGAAAGACGGCATAGTTGACATCTTGAAGAGAGAATGGCTTTCCGTCGGCCTTTTCATACCTGGAAACAGGGAGCTGGATCAACTACCTGATTAGTAAAGCTCAAGTACATACTTTTGGCAGTAACGATTGTAGCACAAGTCCAAAGCCATCAGGTAGCACTTCTGCGAGAGCCTGCCGTCGAGGACCTGGTCACGCATGAAGACAAGTTAACAAACTCAGCTTTAAAATAAGTCTACAACTCAAACTACCGGATATTCACTGCTTAGATTTGGCTTGTAGAAGTCGTATGTGTGAGACATATGTGTTCCCATGTATTTGCGGTCAATCACGAAAGGAGCATTCGGGCCGATCAGCATGGCGACAGCACCAGCTCCACCGCTGGGTCTGGCAGGGCCTTCAGCGTAAACCTGTAAAGTATGAAAGAACACAATCAAATCAAAACATAGATTCTCGTGGCAGAAACGAGATACTCACTGCACTGTCCGCTGCGACCACCAGACCATACCGCCCATCCCAGCCACTGCTCTCCACCCAGTTGAGACAATTGATTAGAGCGGCAGTGCCTCCATAGCACGCATTGCTGGAATCCACGCCTTGAATGTCAGAGTTTCCAGACTCCTGTAATAAGAAAAAGAAACATGACAAGGAAAAGTTAGCCTTGTGTTCTTTCTCGCTCGAGCAACGATCGAGCTCGTCGTACCTCAAAAAGACGCATCAACCACGTTTTGATCGACTTGCTCTTGTCGATGACGGTCTCGCTTCCCACCTCAAGGCGGCCAACTTTCTCGGGCGCGATACTGTACTTCTCGAGGAGATTCTTCACCACTGTCAAGCTGGGGGACAAAAGAAGGGGGAAATTATTTTCTCACTGGCGAGATCAAGAGAATATAGATCGATCCGCGGCCCCCGATGCTCAGCTCAGCTCACCTCATCGATATTACATCCTCCACATCCGTGCAGAAGGCCAAGCGCTCCTGGCCGAGCCCCGCGGTGTATTTCCCGGCGCTCACCCCGTCGTGCTTCTCCAGTTCGTCCTGCCAAGAATTCCATCGATCCAGCTCATTCCAATCTCGGCATTGCGACGGCAGCTAGCGATAGATCTGATCCATACCTGGCGCACGCAGCTGGGTGGGAAGTAGACCTCCAGCGCCAAGATTCCAACATCGCCGGGGCACCCTGCCATGGCCGCGGAGCTCTCCCCACGAAGAAAAAATGTGGTGCGTTCTAAAAAAATTAAAGCTCTATTTATAAAAGCCCTAACTAAAATCCCCATCCGCCGTCCACGTGTCAGGTTCTCATCGTGTGGCTGAGGTTTGCTCCTGGGTCGCATGGAATTTCTTGCTCGTTTGGTGATCGGTAGTTTTCTAGCCAAATTTCTCCACCGCGCTGGTCTTTTGCCGAGATCTCGCCTCTGCGCTGACATAATCTCGACAATTAGCGTCGAATTTCGATGCGAATTCCACGGCGCTACATTCTAAAGGTATGGATTCTTCTTTAGACTTGATTCGATTAGGAAACCACCACTAGCGCTTGCGATTAAAATAAGCTCTGGGTGTCTTCCAGGCGCCTGAAAGGATATGCGGAAAACCATAGCTTTTCGCTCCAAAGGGTATTGTTTTTGATGATTTGGATTCTCTCGTCACAGAAAAATTCTAATGCCTGCCTTGCAGCTTTGGACGGTCCTTTTAAACAATGCAAACGTGCCTCGAGGGAGGAGAATCCAGAAAAAAATCTGGGGACTGACTCGTTCCTCCGAATAGAAATCCCGTGATTCACAAGGTGGAAGCTGGCCAATTGCTTTCGTTTCATAGTCTAAAAAACAGGTTTTCCACCACCATGAGATCAACATGATCGATCGATCGCTCCGAGACAAGTTTCTTACGTCCACGAAGTGATCTTGGTCCTGAGATTTTTCGCCCAACAGTGATCGATTAAAGCGGTGATTGGATCCACTAGCCCGCTCTTTGAATCGCAGCTTAATGATCGTCCCTTTCATCCATTTCGTGCCGCGCTAGTCCCCACCAAGATCAAAAAATACACGAAAAAACTCCATTCTTGGTCTTGGCAGCACGTTAAGGACGAGAAAAAGTATAGTTTCGTGCCGGGCGACTGGGATCATTTTAAGTGAAATGGACGGACTGGATGCACAGGTGGATGAGTGGCATCAATCACGGAATATTACTGGTATTCAATTTGGAAGCTTCGCAAACATTTCATTTAGTTTTTTTTGAGTGGTCAGAATCCCGAGTGTGTTTGTTGCGTTGCTCTTGTCGCTCTCTACGAGAATCTAAGTCCCAAAAGCCATATAAGTAAAAACTCGATCTTACCAAAGTAAAAGTCTCATTTCTCCGCTGGATAATTAGATGAATATTCTTTTCAGCAAGCATCTTAGATCAAACTTATATGCGTGCCTTAAGGCGTCATTCGGGGTTGCTTTAGCTTAAATCGCAAATGGGGGGCGAATCTTAAGGAATAATCCAGCGCCCATTGCCTCGAGATTCGGTGTGCCGGGGAAGGGATTCGATCGCGTGACTTGGGCAGCCGTTTGGGCCCCATTTTACTAACCCACATTCACACGCATCCTCATTTTGGAGTAAAAATAAAAGGGCTGGAATGACAAATTGAGCTTGCCCTTTTTGTCGTCAAATGGGCGAAAAGGATATTATTAGGGCTGTGCCCTGACACGTCAGAAATGTTGACGGTTTGATCTACGGCGAACAGGGAGCGAATCGTATGTCCGCAGTTGGCGAGATTTGAGCCGTCCGATGCACACGTATGATCTTCTGCCACGTGGCTGTTTTGGTTTTTTTTCGCGGCTTACCGCGGGTTAAATGACGTGTTAAAAGAGGGCGCATTGGATACGACAAATCGACGGTGCAGAGAATTTACCTACCTTCACGTGAAGGTTACGAGGGTTTTCTTCTTCTACTATGATTGATAGAAGCGGGAGGAGGGAAGAACAGGGAGAGAAAGAGAGAGAGAGAGCTATGGCGATGGCGATGATGAGCGAATGACAAGAGCTAGCGCTCTCCCTCAGGTAAGGCGCTAGCTAGGTGATGCATTCCTGGAGGCGCTGAGGATCAGGTTATCCAGCTCCGCGAGATTATCTGTTGCGCGCTGCCGGATCAGATTTTTCGCAGCTCTGATTTGCCGCAAGAAGCCACAAATTTGTCCGGGATTCTGGAAATTTCGAGGGATTTCGTCCTGATCCTAGGAATTGGAGGCGAGAGCCGTGATGAGCTACATTTCCTGGCACCGCATTGCCCAGCTGCTGTGAAATTGGGGGAGCTTGGCTGGGCGGCCATGGCGCACGACGACTTGTTCGTGGCGAAGCCATTCCGGGGATAGGAGGACATTTTCTGGGATGGCCTAACGCGGGCAAGGGGCTAGAACATGACGGAGTCCGCTGGAGTTCAAGTGGTTCAAGGCCGTCTAGGATCACTCTCTCTACATGGAAATGGAAGCCCTGGATCGACCCTCTTCTTCAACGAGACGAGCTATTTGCCACACGAGGTTGGGACTTTCCCTCTATATTCCGTTGCGTGTTTGTTCTAACTTTCGTTTTGGTCATATGATTGTATCTAAGCAGATTGATTGGTCTTACGTGAACCACCAAGAATGGGAACCTCGCTCATTCCAAAAGTCCCACACGGATGAATGGGTTCCACCGGCATCAACGACGACGCCTTGGAGTAGGAATGGTTTTAGTCCAGCGATGGCTTCCTCGCAGCTCAAAGGAGTGGCCGGGGAGTGCCTCGACGTGAGCAACGATTCGAGCCTGTTTTCGAGCTCCCTCCCGTCCTTGGTAAAAGCCAAATGTTAGTACTTCTCTCCATTGGCTGCGCTTTCAAACTTCTGACCGAACTTATCTTTGCTACAGTGACGATGTCAGAAAGTGATGTTGATCATTCACTTGGCGCTGAGGACGAAATTTTTGGGTCTCTCGAGGAGATGGAATCGCAAACTATTGGCAGGCTTCTTCCCGATGACGAGGAGGAGCTGCTGGCTGGAATCGCTGACGAACTTGACGTTGTACCATATAGTGCTGAGGACTTTGAAGATTACGATTTATTCAGTAGCGGGGGAGGACTTGAGATGGAAGGGGACTCGCATGAAAGCCTTCACTCTGGATCAGCTCATGGTACGATAGCTGGAGAGCACCCCTATGGAGAACACCCCTCTCGAACTCTTTTTGTGCGAAATATCAACAGCAACGTTGAAGATAGCGAGCTCCGAGAACTTTTTGAGGTACTCGTGGTCCACCTTTGCATGGCGCCATTGACAACGTTCTATACGTTTCACAGATTTACGGGGACATTCGTACGTTATACACCGCTTGCAAACATCGTGGATTTGTAATGATTTCCTACTATGATATACGATCTGCTAGAACTGCTATGCGTGTACTTCAAGGCAGGCTACTTCGGCGACGCAAGCTGGATATTCATTTTAGCATTCCAAAGGTTTGCTTGGTTTTCATATGCATAAGTCCGATTTGCGCTTCTCACTCACAGAGGTCGCTCGTTTACCAGGACAATCCCTCCGACAAGGATATCAACCAAGGCACCCTTGTCGTCTTCAATCTTGATGCATCAGTCTCTGGTGAAGATCTTCGTAAAATATTTGGCCAGTATGGCGAAGTTAAGGAGGTAGATCTAGTAGCACATTCTGTTTCACGGGTGGAAGTCTCATATAACTGTTTTTCTGTCTCCAGATACGTGAAACACCTCACAAGAAGCACCACAAATTTATTGAATTCTACGACGTACGAGCCGCCGAGGCTGCACTGCGGGCATTGAATAGAAGCGATATTGCAGGGAAACGCATCAAACTGGAACCTAGCCGTCCCGGTGGTGTCCGAAGAAGGTTTGCGTTTGTGGTTTATAAATGGTTAACCTGTTCTACATGTAGCTCTTGTATTGGCAGTTTGATTCCTCGGCTTGGTCAAGAATTTGATCCTGAAGACGGATACCATTCACCATTGGCTTGGACGAACTCTCCTCCAGGTGAAGATGTTCCGTCACGATAGTTTCACCATTGACAGTGCTTAATTTGCAGCTGACTGGGGGACCATAAACGACACGCATGACTCTGACACAACATTTATCTCACCTAAGCCCCTGAGCTACAGGCCTTTCTCCCCAAAAGTCACGTCACAGGACGTATCTCCTCCTGTCAGAATAGGAATGGTTGACAACAGTCACGTTGTGCAGAACACAATGAGAAACCATCTGCTGGAACAGCAAGGACTTGGACAGCATCACCCCCACTCCTTGCCAGAGTTTAGCAGCGGTCTGTATAGAAATGAACTCTTCAGCAGCTCCACAGCGGGCTTTTCAACAGTGGCTGCCCCTTTGAGGCCGATTGAAGGCTTTGAGACGAGGACGCTTTCTAGGACTACGAGTACCTTAAATGACAGCTCCACAACCTATGCAGGTACTTGATCGTCAAACTATAGCCAACTACTAAATCTTCTATTTTCTTTTTTGCAGTACACGCTACTGGTGTAGCATCCTCTCTTCAAAGATCTTCCAGCCTAAGCATCTCTCTGACCAGCCAGCCTATGATCTGGGGTTCTGGCAGTGGAGGGGCTTACAGTCAAGGTACTACTGCGAAAAGCTCGTCACCTTTAATGTGGCAGAGCCTATCGCCCGGCCATCCATACAGTCAACGCTCCGCGGATGCGCATACTAATTTGTACAATTCAGCCTTCTCTCCACATAGTCACCAGCTTGGTTCATATTCTCGCGATCATTCTTTAGGGGACCGGCACCACAGTTATCTCCGAGAATCGCCAGAGATTTCGTCTTATCTCCAGTCGGGCTCCGTCAAAAGTCCAAACATTGGGAGCCTAGAGCACCACGGTCCTTCGTCTCCAAACTTTGGTATGTTCCTGCCTCAACGGCTGTTTGGAAACTGCGGCTCTCCATTAGACGACCGACGCAACAGAAGAATGGACAGCACTCCCGCTCAAGTGGACAACCGGAAGCAGTTTCAGCTGGATTTGGATCGTATTGTTGCTGGGGAGGACACTCGAACGACGCTGATGATTAAGAACATACCAAACAAGTATGCGACTGTTCCTCTTTTCTTTCTGTTTTTTTATATCTGCACTGGGAGCTAAGTTTTGTTCTTTTTCTCTAGATACACTTCGAAGATGTTACTGGCCGCGATTGACGAGCAGCACCGTGGAACGTATGATTTCATATACTTGCCCATTGATTTTAAGGTAAGCGAGTTTTCAGAAGGGGTTGTGCGAACCACATCTAACCAGAGGCTTCAACAGAATAAGTGTAACGTCGGATACGCATTTATCAATATGCTGTCGCCTTCCTTGATCGTGTCCTTCTACCAGGTTCTCTGTGAAAAAGAGAGAGGAGATTTTCCTACGACTTGGTTCTAAAACTTGTCATTCTTTGTTTTCACAGACGTTCAATGGCAAGAAATGGGAGAAGTTTAACAGCGAGAAGGTGGCATCGCTCGCGTACGCGCGGATCCAAGGCAAGGCCGCGCTGATCGCGCACTTCCAGAACTCGAGCCTCATGAACGAAGACAAGCGATGCCGGCCGATAATCTTCCACTCGGACGGACCAAACGCAGGTGACCAGGTATCATTTCCTTGAGTGATTGATCCATTCATATCACACGCAAAAGGAAATTAGCTCGAAACTCTCAAACTCTTCTAAATCTATCGCACAGGAGGCATTCCCGATTGGTGACAACGTCCGGAGTGGTCGATCTTCTGGACGGCTTGGAAACCAAGCGGTGGAAGGCTTCTTCGCGAGACCCGGCGAGTTCTTGGGAGGAGAAGGTGTTGGCGATGGTAGCGACGAAGCGTTCCTCTCGCTGGAGACGCTCAACATCTCATCGCCAGGGAATTGACCATGTAAGTTTTCCTTTTTGGTAACCAACGCTACTATGGCTCCAGAGCTGCTACTACTACCAGAGACTAGAGAGATCCTCTCTTCCAAGCGTGTATATAGCTTCAAAGGAAGTGATCCATGATAGAAGACAATGAAGAGAGACTGGATTGGATGTAAATAAAGTAAAATATGAATTTGCTTTGCTTTGTGGTTATTTAAGATTTTCTTACTACGTGCCAGTGATTTTTACTACGTGGCGAGGGCTCTTGGTTCGATTCGTGTCAGCACCAGTTCTTCTGGAGAAATCCAGATGGCTTCCATCCACTTTGGCGCTGAGCGCTACCCTCTCTCCTCTCTTTCTCTTTCTTGCAGCTCGATTCTTCTCTTCCAGGTTCGTAGCTCGCTCGCATTTCCAATCGATCGCGCTGCCGCATTGTAATCGATCTCTCTTGTCTAGGTTTTCTTGCGGCGATGGCGTGCCTGGCCGTGGACAATGCGTGGTGCCATCGGTTCGAGGCCTCCATCCCCGAAGCTCGGAGCGATTTGAGCTCTCGGATTGCGTTTCCAGCGTCGCGCCAGAGGAGATTCCTCAAGGTAAGATCACGAAATTTTAGGCGCGCAAAGAGAGATAGATCCAGTCAGTCGATTCTAACGCATTGGAAGGATGAATGCAGTGTCGCAGTCGACCACGTCGATCACAGTGGCTTCTCAAGGCCTCCGGGTCGGACGATAAGTCAAATTCCACTCCCAGTGGCACCAAGACTGCTGACAAGGAGGAAGAGAAAGCTTCGGATTCGCAAGAAAAGCAGGAGGAGCAGCCACAGGAGATCAAGCAAGAGATTGATTGGAAACAAGACGAGGATTTCAAGAAGTTCATGGGAAATCCTTCCATCGAGGCAGCGTTGAAGCTGGAGAAGAAGAGAGCCGAGCAAAGACTCAAGGAGCTAAACAACGAGCAGGGTGGCAACGTTTTCACGGGCCTGATACAAAACATATCACGAAGTATCGTCCAAAGAGAAAAGGATAGGCTGGAGCAAGTCGAGCAGAAATTCAAGGCACTGGATCTTGGCAAGGTATGCGTTCCTTTTTTTTTCTCTCTTTGGCAGTTCCTTGCTCTTAAATGTGACTTTGCAGTTGAAAAGCTGCTTTGGATACGATACATTCTATGCGACCGATGTTCGCCGCTTTGGAGACGGTGGAATTTACATTGGAAACTTGAGAAAGCCAATCGATGAAGTGATCCCAGTATTGAAAGAAAGGCTGGCCAATGCCGCTGGAAGGGAAGTGACGATCTGGTTCATGGAAGAGGAGGATCGGGAAGGCAACGACATAAAAAAACAAGTGAGATTTTCCTTTGGATTCGTGGTGTTCTTACTTGTTCGTGCCAAACTCGTGTTTGTGATCCAGGTTTGTGTCGTTCAGCCCAAGGAGGAAATCGACCTTCAATATGAGCTTTCTTCACTGAACAATGTTGCGGGGTACATCAGCGCTTTGCTCCTCGGAGTCACAACTCTGGGAACAATCTCGCTGACGAGTGGTTTTTTCTTGACACCAAACGCCACCTTTGACGATTATATCGCTCGAGTTCTACCTCTTTTTGGTGGATTTATCACCATTCTCGGTGTCTCAGAGGTACGATTTATTTGGGCTATGGACTTGCGTTCCTATAAAACGTTTTTTCTTCTTTTGTTTCACAGGCTGCTACACGGCTTACTGCGAACAAGTATGGCGTTCGTCTCAGCCCATCATTTTTAATTCCTTCGACATGGACTGGATGCCTCGGCGTTGTAAACAACTACGAGTCCACACTTCCCAGCAAGAAAGCACTCTTCGACATTGCTGCTGCTAGAATAACCAGTGCCTACGTTACGTCTTTTCTTCTTGCTGCAATTGCGTTTTACCTCGATCAAAGCCTCAACGGTGGTGATAACGCTCTGTAAGTTTTCTTTCCTCTGCTCTTTTCTTTCTATCTTCCTCGGTTGATTGGATCTGGTGTACAGGTATATAAGGCCGCAGTTCTTCTTCAATAATCCTCTACTCTCCTTCATCCAGTACGTGACTGGGCCTTACACCGACGAACTTGGAAACGTTCTTCCTCAAGCAGTGCCAGGTCTTGGTGTTCCGGTCGATCCATTAGCGTTTGCTGGCCTCCTTGGTAAGAAGATGAAATCTCTCGTTTATTCTCCAAAACTGAGAGAGAGAAAACACTTACAGGAATCGTGGTGACATCCATGAATCTCCTGCCCTGCGGGAGACTCGAAGGTGGCCGAATCGCCCAAGCTCTCTACGGCAGGAGAGTGGCAAACATTCTCTCTTTCTTCACATCTCTAGCTCTCGGGGTTGGAGGCGTCACTGGGAGCGTGCTAAGCTTGACGTGGGGTTTCGTGGCTACGTTTTTCCGCGGCGGGGAGGAGCTCCCGGCTGAGGATGAGATCACACCAGTTGGAACGAGCCGCTACATCTGGGGGTACGCTCTTGCAGTGTTTTGTTTGCTCACGCTCTTTCCAAACAGCGCTGGAACTTTTCCCAGTGTTCTTTACACCCCACCATTCTTTAGGGGCGATGGTGGTTTCTAAGCTAAAAAACAAATTTTGATTATTAAAAGCCATAAACCAGCACCATCTGCTATATTCTCTCAGATGGATTTGTATACCTCTAGAATTATATCTTTAGAAACATACAGTTCACATATGCAGTCTTTCTTCTTTGTGGGTGTGTCTCTTCATTACTTTCATGGTATTGGAGCAATTGCCTTGTGGCTAATGCCTAGGATCAAAGAGCCAATTGCTCTGATACCAAGAGTAGGGGAGAGGGACTTACACAAGGAGGAAGAAGTGTGTATCTCAACTATATATGGCAATCAATCATATGATGCTTTCTATCAAGTTATATTGAAGCACATAGTCACGCTATATACCTTAACAGTAATGCATGGCCTCCAACACTGGTCCTGCAGCCCAGAGCCGAGGAGGAGATGGCAGACGGTACGTAGTCTCCATGATCAATTCTATTTTGGTGTGAAGAAATTGAATGAAGCTTGATTTTTATGACTCAGAGGGAAGGAGCCACGACACGAAATGGCTCTTTCTTCTCAGGCAGTCTCTACTCCCATAGAAACTCTGCCTCTGCAGCGAGTTCTGATAGTGATCCCCACCTCAAACAATTCAAGGGCTTCCAGGATGTAAGTCCACTTTTGCACTTTATACACATCTTCCTGTAAGTTTGTCTCTTGTGTTCTTTCAACTTTGAGACGATCATTCACAATTGAATGCTTTTCTTACAGTGGTTTGATCGCCACAAGAAAACTAGAAAGTTACAGAGCTTTGCAGTTTGCAGACCTAGTTGGGCTGTTTCTTGGAAAGTTTAAAGTTTGGAGCTTTTTTCTTTGAGTTCTTTTCACCGACCCATTGACTAAAACAAGTCTTTTTGGCAGTCAATGGTCGCTCCCGCATTCGAATCCCGTTTGTGTTTCTAAGTTGTTCCTGCTTTTCTTGCTCTTAAATGTGATTTGCAGTTGAAAAGCTGTGAAAAAGCCAATCGATGAAGTGCTTCCAACATTGAAAGAAAGGCTGGGTCTGGAAGAAAGGTGACGATTCTGGTTCATGGAACATAAAAAAGAATCTTCCCTCAGTTCTTTAATAAAAGGCATATTCGCAATAGCGCATTTTCTTAAGACCAAAGCAAAAGGGGACTATAAATAGTGCCTGGTATGTTCCAGAAGCTTTCTTAGGGCTTTTTGTGTCAAGGAGAAAGCGATGGCACGTAGCAGAGGCGGAGGCGGCAAGACTCGCACTTTCAAGGCGCCAGCAAAATCGGCGGCCAAGGCGCCCGCTCCAGGTATACAGTCAATCGCAACCGGGTTTGATCGCATCTCATCTCGATCTCCTTGAGCAGCTTACCATGCACCGCCTCCAGCACCGGTCCCGCAGCCCAGCGCCGGGGGCATAGGAGGAGGAATCGCGGCCACGATGGTAGACGGTACGTATCCCCAGATCGATTCTACTTCAGTTTGTTTGTGAAGAGGATTGAAAGGAGGCTTGGACTTTTCGTTTGTTTTACCAGGACTTGTGTTTGGAGCCGGCAACGCTGTGGCTCACCGGGCTGCAGACGCGATCATGGGTCCGCGTGTTGTGCAGCACGAAATGACGCCTTCTTCTCAGGCTGCCAGTACTCCCGCAGAAGCTCTGCCTCAGCCAACAAGCTCTGGTAGTGATCCATGCCTCAAGCAATTCAAAGCGTTCCAGGATGTAAGTCTTACACATAATTCTCGTTTGCACTTTCATATTTTTATAAGATCATCGTCTTTTCTTGTGTTTTAACAGTGCATTGCGGGCAATCCTGATGACATATCGAAGTGTCAGTTTTACATTGACATGCTGGGAGAATGCCGCAGGACCGCTGGTTCAAGTAAGTCTGGTTCTTCCAAAAGTTCACAATTCAATGCTGTTCTTGCAGTGGTTCGATCGCCAGAGGGAGTGCCAAACTAGAAAGTTTCAGAGTTTTGCAGAGCTAGTTGGGACAAGGCGGCATGTTTCTTGGAAAGTTTAAAGTTTGGAAGTAAAGGAGCTATTTCTTTGTTCTTTCTACCTTTGACTGCCCTCGACTCGTTGACTGAAACTAACCAGGAACACGGTCTTTATGGCAGTCAACGATGCTGCTACCGGGAAGCTTCGTCTTGTTCGTGTTTAGGGCTGGCGTGGCTGGGCCAAACCGTTGTTCCTGTGTCCTCTGCACACGCTGTTCGAGGTTGTTGATGAGCTCCCCCTCCCCGTGAGCCTTTCAAAGAGAATTTAGGGTTCTTGGCGCGCTCAATGCAAGCATGGTTCTCTGTCGAGAAGAAGAAGAAGAAGAAGAAGGGGAAGAGGAGGAGGAGGAAGATTTTGCCGATGAACACACTGGCATTCTCTTCCCCAGAGAGAAAGAAATCGAAAATGCAACAGCGCCAGTGAATTTGTGTTTGGGATTGGTGGAAAAGGAGAAAATCCAGATTGAAGGAGGAGGAGGAGGAGATGATGCAAGAAATTCTCTCTTCCAGATTGGAATTCCAGCGATTCGCGCCGAGCTCGCCATGCAATTCCGCCTGGGATGCCCCATCATGGCCATGAATCTCATCTGGTTCGCCAAATTCCTCGCCACCACGCTCTTCCTGGGCCGGCTGGGCGGCGTGGAGCTCGCGGGAGGCGCCCCAGCTCTCACCTTCGCCAATGTCACCGGCTACTCGATCCTCCTCGGCCTCGCCACTGGAATGGAGCCGATTTGCAGCCAGGCATTCGGCGCCGGGCGGATGGATCTCATGGCCTCAGCGCTCCAAAATGCGATCCTCATGTTGCTCCTGGCGTGCATTCCAATCGCCCTCGCCTGGCTCTACAGCGTTGAGAGATTCTTGATCTTCTTGGGCCAAGATCCATCCCTGGCCCGCGCCTCAGCAAGATTCTTGAAATTTCTCCTCCCGGATCTGTTCCTCCAGGCCGTGATCACTCCCCTGCGGATCTTCCTGCGCTGCCAGAGCGACACACTGCCAATGACCATCGCCTTCACTGCCGGGATCCTCCTCCACATTGGCCTCGGATTCCTGCTCGCCATGGACCTGCGCGGCGCTGGGATTGCTCTGGCGATGGGCATTGGCGATCTTTTCACGCTCGCGCTACTTTTAAGTCTCGTCCTCGCCAAGAGCAGAGCCTCTTCTTCCAAGAACCCTAAAATCAAGAACACGAAGAACACGAGGAGAAAGAGATGGAAGCCACTGATCAAACTGGCACTGCCCTCGTGCGCCATGGTCTGTCTTGAGTGGTGGAGCTACGAGGCCATCGTTCTTCTTGCCGGGCTGCTCCAGGATCCAGAAATCTCCGTCCCAGCTGCCGCGATCGTGCTGAATTTGGACGCAATCCTCTACGCGCTCCAGATCACGCTCGCCTCCTGCACCGCCACCCGAATCGGCCACGAGCTGGGCGCGAATTCGCCCTCCTCTGCCCGGACCGCGGCAATCGCATCGCTGCTCGCAAGCCTGGCAATGGGATTCGTGACCTTCGCCTCTCTGGCGGTGTTGCGATCGCTGTGGGGGCGGCTCTTCACGGCCGATCCAGCGATTGTGCGCAGCGTAAGGCGATCGATGCCGGTGGCGGGCGCGATCGAGCTCGCCAATTTCCCGCTGCTGGTGCTGTGCGGGATCTTGCGTGGGAGCGCGAGGCCAGCGGCGGGGGCGGTGGCGAGCCTGGGATCGTTCTACCTCATTGGGCTACCGTGTGGAGTGGCGCTGGGATTTGGGGCGGGGCTGGGCCTGGTGGGGCTGTGGCTGGGATTGCTAGCGGCGGTGGTGGCGTGTGTGGCGCTCACGGGGATGGTTGTTCTTGGCACGGATTGGAAGGAGATGGCCATGGCTTCCCAGCTGCAAATCCGATCTTGGGACACTCCTAGCGAAGTGTGGCATTCTAACGATCCTGATGGAAAAGAAATGGATGAAATTTAAATCCTAGAATATTCTATATTCTGAGCATATTCGCTATGATTAAATTGAACTTTACCGCCTTTTTGCTACTTACCTTTACCATCTTTGTTATAACCACTATAATCTTTTTCTTGATCATCAGAGCAAATATTGGCTAACAGAGAATATAGTGAAGCACATTCTGGATTGAGACTCACCCCAGACTTGGCAGCCTCAGATCCTCTTGTGGAATCTTTGTGGAGTTTGCAGCCACCCAACAAGGAAGTCCACTCCACCTCATCAGGGATAAAGGGCATATTCCAGACTAGATCTTGGGCATCTCGCAAATGCCCAGCTCTACTCAACAAATCCACCATGCAACCATAGTGCTCCTTGAGAGGCCTCAGCCCATGATCCCCAGCCATCGATCTAAAGCAGTCCCAACCGTCCGATACCATGCCGCCGTGGCTGCATCCCAGCAGCACGCAGCACAGGGAGATCTCGTTGGGCCGGATGCCGTCCAGTACCATCGTACGGAACACATCCAACGCTCCCTGGAAGCGCCCGGCCCTGGCGTACGCTCCAACCAGGCACGTCCACGCCACCACGTTCCGTACGCCCATGCCGGCAAAGAAGCGCTGGGCGTCTTCCAGATTCCCAGCCAGCGCATATGCCCCTAGCATCGCGGCCTCGGATGCCGTGTCGTGGTACGGCATCTCGCTGAAGATCCTCCGGCATTCATAGATATTCCTACCGTACGCGTGGGCTGTGAGCAGTGCCGTCCAAGAGAGGATGTCGCGCTCGGGCATGAGCTGGAAGAGGCGCGCGGTTTTCCGCGCGTCCCCAAGCCGGGAATATCCGCCTAGCATGGTGTTCCACGTGACGAGATTCCTGGCCGGCATCGCGTGGAAATAACGATTGGCCTCGTCAGCGCTGCTGGCAAAGCACACATCCAGTACGATCGTCCACGTCACCACGTCGTACAGTGGCATAGCACGGAACACCGCCATGGCGTCCTTGAGCCGGTGGTGTCCGTACTGTGAATATGCCCCCAGGAGAGTGCTCCATGTGATGAGATTCCTCTCTGGCGTGGCGTGAAAGAGCGCTATCGTCGAGTTTAAATCGCCGGATCTCATGGAAGAAGAGAGTGCCGCGTTCCAGGCCACCACGCTCCACTGTGGCATTCGATCAAACACAAGCCTGGCTCGAGCAAAATTTCCTTCTTGGGTATTTGCCGAGAGGAGGATGATCCACGAAACAATCTCTCGCTCTGGGATTCGATCGAAGAGATCTTCCAGCTCGCGGATCCGGCCAAACTGGTCGTAGGCCGCCAGCATCGTGTTCCAGGAGATGACGCTGGGGAATCGAATGCCGTCGAAAATAGACTCCGCGAGATCCAGATCCCCCGCCCTGGCCGCCGCCGCCACTGCCGCGGTGGAGGAAACCACATCCAATTGGGGCGTCCTGGCGAGGATCGAGAGCGCACGAGAGAGATCTCTGCTGCTGGCGAGGCACGAGAGGAGGATCTGGCGCCAGGAGAAGGGATTCCTGGCGGGCATGGAGTGAAAGAGGGCGAGCGCATCGCGGATGCTGGAGCAGGCGCCATACATCTGGATGAGGAGATTGGAGAGAAAGATGCCGTCGGTGGACATGAATCGTGATTGCAGCACCTGGGAGTGGACATTGCGAGCATCGGCAATGTGGCGCACGGATTTGATCAGCCGGACGCACTCATCCACACACCGCATCCAAGAACCCTAAAAACAGAGTAACATTTTGGCGGGATCTCTTAAGAATATACTTTTAGATGCTAAAATCATATTAAAACTTGGGGGTATAGACAGACTCCAACAGGGGAGATGGAAGAAGATATATCATAGTGATTGAGAGCAAAAAGGGGATTTTTTTCACGGGCATTTGGGCTCTCCCTCGTCGTTGCGGATGGCATCGTAGCACGGGCACTCTTTCTTGCTCGCTTTTGGGCCATTTGGAACGCAAAAGCACTTGCTGCAGCAGATGTTACACATCTTATTGCACATCTTGGGCTTCCACGAGTTAGAGCATCGGTACTTGCACTTTCCTCCACAATCTGCGAGGGAGAAACAAAGACCCAGTCACTCTACTCGATCCAACCGACAAAAACTGGAAGCTAGAAACTAAAAGCAGTGAAGGATGTCTCACCGTATCCAGTCAACTCTCTGCTGCCAAGAACCACATTGCCATTCTGCAACGAAACAAGAGATTGTCAAAACACGAACTCAATCAGGCAATGCAGGTGGAGCTCACCTCGGCAATCACAAACATGAGCAGGACGAGAGATGCTAGCCACTTCAAAGCCAGAGCCATTTTGCTCGAACTCCTCCTTTCTCTCACGAAGAAACACACCTGAGGACTCTGCGAGAAGAAACAATGAATGCTCTAAGTGGAAGAGAAGAGTGGCGTTTTATAGTCAGGAATTTACCTCCCTGTGGAAGAATCGCGGCAGCTCAGGTCCCCCACCGTGTGAAGCTAGCTGTATAGTCAGCGTAGAATTAAATCTAAAGATTGTCTGTCTGCCATGCCATTGCCAGCCGGCTTTGCGATGGAAGGCTGCTCCATTTAGATATCTTTGTACCATATATCTATCTCGTATAGGCGCCTCTTTGTCTGCCAGATCCTGTAAAGGAAACAACTATGATCAAACTCTTTTTATCTTTCGTCTCTTCGTTTGGGTTAACTCTATCAGACTAAGAAATGTCGGTTTACCTCGCAAGACGAATCACGTGTTGATGTCACGCCAAACGAGAGCTTGCCAGCACGAAGATATAGGTGCTTCCATCGCGACGAGCTTATCGGCGATTCAGTGTTCTCTCCTATATGATACAGAGTGAGCTCGATGAAAATGGCAGCGAAAGATCCTTACAGAAGCCACATTCGTGGAGATGCCGAGAAGACCACCTACTGGAGACATGGAGAACCTCCGTGTTATGACAACAGCGCCTTTGAGGAAGGTAGGAGCAAGGTAAGTCAGCCGCTAGATTGTGAGAGACGAGGTAACGGGAGCTCGCTCACCTTGCTCGAGTTCAATTGGATTGATGCAGGTATGGCCGAGTGGATCACTGGAAGAGATCGTTCAAAACCTCGTCAAGACGTGGGAGATGGAGATGAGCCACAAATGCCATGTCGAGGACGTCAAAACAGTCGATCATCAGCTCTTCACACTCGCGGTGAATGGTAGGCAAGAACTTCACAGCATCATCTTCTTCTGAGTTTCTTCTATGCAGGAAGAACATCAAAGTCAGTCGACGAAGTTGTGAGAACCGGAACATATAACATCTTACTTCAATCCGAAGCTCCCTGTGCATACTATGACTCCTCCAAAGAAAACTTTGAATCCTCACACCATACCTTCCACCACGCCTTCAACAATAAGTTTCCATGGGAAGTTCTTCAAGTGTACTCCGGACCTCCTGTTGTTGTCTTCAAGTGGAGGCACTGGGGAAGAATGAAAGGAGAATTTCGAGGTCATGCTGCTACAGGGGAATTAGTCGAGATCATCGGAGTTGCTGTTGCTACTGTGAATAGCGAGCTCAAGCTCACGAGTGTTGAAGTTTACTTCGATCAGGAGCAGTTCCTTAAGAAACTGTGCAAAGGAAAGAAATCTTCGCTAGAAAATGTAAACGCAAATGCGTCACTTAAGTGAAAGCATCCTTGGAAATCTTCTGTAAATCTGAATAGATGTCATGAGACTTTTACCTGTATCTGATTTCTCTGCCTTTTGGAAGGCTGCGAACATATCAATGCTCAAAAAGTCCCTTTTTCGTCCAGCTCGGGGTACGTAGTAGCCTTCCTTTCGCGATTACATACTTGACGTCCAGACTGCTTTTATCCAGCACTAGAACGTCTCCGTCGCTTCCAGGACTTAAATGACCTGCCAAAAACGTTTGCATATATACAAAATATATACAAATATGGAAGCTAAAGTACCTTTGTGAGAAAGTGAAAGAAACTTGGCTGGATTCTTTGTGCTTAACGAGATGGCATTTTCAACTTTCCACTCGGCTTCTCGAATTAGCCTCCTGATTGTGTTTAGATTTGCAAGAGGCGAGGCAACCCCATACTTGACAAGGTTGCCTTTGCTGTCAAAGACTGGAAGAGAACCAAATGCGTCAGAAGAAATGGAAACAGAAGTGGTAGGCACATCTCTGTCCGCCCAGTCTTTAAGAGCGTCATAAGATGCAGTCTCGCCTTCTTGATCGGAGGTAAAGTCGACACGGCCTCCAGCTTTTACCCACACTTCCGCAGCCTATAAAAAGGTTTGAGAACTTAAAAGCTACAAGAAAAGTATACCTTCACTAGTTCTGGTCCCCGATGAGAAACATGAGTTGGGATCATCTGCGTGAGAGGTATAGCTTCTCTACTGGCGTTGAAAACAGACCAAAGAGGGTCGAGCAGCGAAGAAGCACTGCCAACGTGAAAGTGAACAATTCCAGCTTTTCCCGAGAGCATCCCTCCAACTCTTGCGTCAGAAACAAGGTGTAAAAGTTCCTGCGTGAAACCACGTCAGAAACGATGCGAAAAATTGTAGCTAATTTTACCTCGGTGCTCGGCCAGCTGCCACGATGATCGCTGATGGCAATTTCTCCGGCGCCAATTACTTCGTTGATAAGCTGAAGATCTCTTACTAAGTTGCCTGATAGATGTTTTGGTCGTATCTAAGCTGTACAAATGAAAACAGAATGGACAAACCTGTCAAAGTTGGAGATGGTACTCTATAGCAGCCACTCCACATATACGCTGTTATTCCTTCCTCTTGCAAGGCTTTGGACTTTGTTCTTAAGTTCTCAAGGCTACAAGGAGCAAAAGAGTTATAATCCAGAAGACAAAGGCAAAAAAAAATAAAATTGAAAAGAAAGGAGCATTTGCTCGAGAAAGAAAAAAAACGGAGAAGAGATGAGCGACTCATACCTTCTCGACACACAATCGGTGCCTAGGACTCCCACAAGCGTAGTGATGCCGGCTTCTAGAATTTCTGCTAGCCCAGCTTCCGGAGTTCTACTGGAAGGTCCCATCTCTCCACCACCACCAGTGATATGGACGTGCATATCAATCAAACCTGGAACGACAATGTCGCCCTCCACATCGATCACCTCGAGAAGAGGAATCCCTGTGAGGTTGATCCATGGAAACTGCTGCTCCGAGAACACAGCTAGAACGGATCCTCCACCCAGCAGAATGTGAGCCTTTCCAATCGGCTCTGGCGTGTACACCAATCCATTCTTGACCAGAATCATCGTGGCTTCTCGTTCCTCGCCGCCGATCTGGCCCGCTACCGCGACATCCCACTCCACAATCCCCGGATCGAGAGACTTACACGATGATCCAGATGACATAAGCGGCAAGAATGCCGCCAGCAGCGCTAGCTCCAAGAAAATCAGAGGTCCAGCCATTGTCCCGAGAACCCTAGCCCATGGAAGTGGGGCATCTTAAAAATGCAAGATATCTCATATACAAATTGCCAGCAATGTTTGGAAGGGTTCTTGAATAAACATTACAGCTTAGATTTAGTCGTTCATTTTATTTGATAGCATTTACTGCTACTTTTTTGGTTTGCTTAAGCAAACCTGTAGACTGTAGTGAATATATTTAGAATATATTTGAATATTTTAGGATATTCTATGATTTAACGGTTGTTATTCATTTAGATTAATCTTGTATTTATAATTTATAAATATGTTTATAATTTATAAACTTTCTTAAACCCTTTCTAGTATATTCTTTTTATTCTATCATCTAATGGTTGATATACAATAAAATTAATCTTGTGTTTATAAATTACAAACATGTTAATAATTATAAATTTTATTTGAGAAATCAGATTAATAAGTAATAATAAAACTACTATTAAGCAAACCAAGCATTGCTACATGCAATGCATAGCAATTTATTTTTTACTTTGAACTCAATCACAACTTTATAGTTGTATGGTCTTTTTAGTATCTTCTTACGAATATTCATCTGATTATAAGATACAGCCATTGGATTCAACATGGGAGGGACATCATGATAAATATTAAGTATGAACATTAGCTTGAATGTGTTGAAATACCTCACTGGAGGGAATTTTACAATATGCACCTCTCTATACTGGATTAGCAAGGAGCATAGTGTTAGCCAGGAAATTCCAAATTTGCTAAATGGAGTATAGTGTTTTAGTCTCTAGGATTTTATATTAATTTAGAGGACTTTACTGAATTTTCTATTCTTTCACTTCACTTGTAAGTTCTTTTCTCCATTTATTGCATTTTCTTTTATTCCACAAAAGTTGCATCCTTATGCAAATAGTGAGAAACTATTGAAAAGATATGGATAAATATTATTATATAAATGTAATGGAAGATATTAAATAGAATGACGTTATTGATGAATAAAATATTAATTATATTTAGAAAAAGAATCTGAGGTAGAGATGATGAAATATTACTTATTTATTATTTAATTCTAATAATGTATTATAAATTTAAATTACTTAAATTTTTACTCAAAAATATTTATTACCTACCATTTGTTTTAATGATGAATTATCAATTTATTCATTATATTTGTACCTAATTAAGTTACCCAAACAAAGTCTAAAAAGAATATTAATATAAATAATATACATAAGTATGTGTCAATACCAAAGGGGATATGTATCATGTCAATGCTGATTTCTTAGTTGAAAATTAGATTCAAAATAATATTAATACTAAATTTTTAAACTTTCTCTTGATAAAAAAGTGAAATATTTTCATCTTGATGTGTAAAAAATGTAAAACTTCTAGACAAATAAAATAAAATAATAAAAATGACATATTAAATAACATGTTAAAAGTTGTAAAATATAAGTGGATAAGCTAATTTAAATAGTTTTTAATTGTAAATTTAAAAAATTGTTATGACTTTAAAATTAGATTTAAAGCTAATAAAATTAGTATATTAATTTGATATATCTAATGAGGAACCAAATCTTATGTATATACTTTGGATAAGAAAGTGTACCATAGAAGTGTTTCTAATTTAAAATTTATCATTAAAATGTCAAAATGTCAAAGTAAGTTACGTGCAATAAATGGTGTGGCCCTGGTAGTGGAGTTGGGAATGCTAGTGAAGTTTGCTGTATTATATAGCAAAGAGCCATGCCCTTATTAAAGCATTTGAGGATCTCCTATTACATTTTTAGTGATGCATTCTAGCATTACATTTTAGCATTCTGGAGAGTCGACAGCTTCTAGCTTCAGGGATTGGAGGAATTAATTCCAGGGATTGTTGAGTTCTAGTTCCAAGCATATTAGTTTTCTAGCCATATCTGGGATTCAAGTAAGCTCTTATATAGGAGCTTGGCACTCAAGATGAAACTCAAGAGGAAGGGAGAACATTAGAGAGCTAGCAGAATCAGTTTCAAGGAAGAAACTGAGGAATAAACATGCTCCTAACTGGACAAGAGGAGAAGCCATAGCTTTGATTGAGCTCAAAGTATGCAGAGTGGACAGTTATGATTCAAGGAAACTTGCCTTTGAATGCTTGCCAACAGCAGTTTGCAAAGAAGATACTGTTGAGAATCTAGCCACAAAGCTCACTTGGCAAGCCTCCAATGAGCTAGTTCCTGCTCAAGTCCGTGAAGATGAGATGGCTGCTGTTGTTCTTGATGCCAAGGTTTCAACTTAACCTGTTTCCAGAGACATCGAGCATGACCAGTGTTGAGAACAAACTTGGTGGAACAGAGCTTGAGAGCATGTCATTTTCTATGGAGCAAGTTTGGGAACTTAACAAACTTAGCAAGAGGTTCCAGCAAACTTTGACAGAGTGCTCAAAGATTGGAGCTTTTTTCGTCCCTCTCATATCCTTTCTCTACAGCCTGGAAGAGAATCCACTTTCTCATGCTCACTGAAAGGCTGCCATGAAATCAGTTATTATAGAGGTCAAGGGCCAGCAAACTTGGAGTGAACAAGCTACCTGGAATTGTTCCTTCAAGCTTGTTGCCAGGCATGCATAAGACTTCCACTCCTATAGATTTGGAGTGTGGAAGAGGAATGCTGTGGAAGAGCTTGTTTCTATCCACACTAAGAAACTTGAGGCTATAACTTCGACAAAGATTTGTTGGTAGTGAACCGGTGAAAGTGTTTTGTGCTACTCAAAGTTCCTCCAGCCCAGAGTGGAGGCCAAACTCTTGAGAAATCTCACTGCCAATACTGTTCTCAAAGAGCAAAAGCTGCCAGTCTCACTGCTCAGAGTGGAAGTGATGTAGAACACACTCTAGTGTCATCCCTTTTAGTATTTGAAAGAGATTTTTGATCCAGATAAAAATATCCTGTCTGTTTGTGCAAATAGAATTTAATATATTTCTGTTTTGATGTAGTGGATATACCTAGAATATATTTGAATATTCTGAGATATTTTATAATCTAACGGTCATTATTCAATTATATTAATCTTGTATTTATAATATATAAACTTCCCTAAAAACTTTCTAGCATATTCTATTTTATTCTATCATCTAATGGTTGATATGTAATAAGATTGATCTTATGTTTATAAATTATAAAGATGTTTATAATTATAAACTTCCATATAATAAATAAGAACAAACACTACTATTAAACAAACTAAATGTTGCTGTATGGAACATGTAGTAAATTGTTCTTATTCTTACATAAAATATTTATGTTTTAACTGTCTCTACATAAGATATGCAAGTGTGAATAAAATCACACATAAACTATATGAATTAGGAGAAATTTATGTGTTATAAATTTACTTAAAACATATTTAAATTTTTTAAACTTAGAGTGTGACGCATTAACTTAAATATAGGTGAGTAAATTGAAATAATTTGATACAACAAGAATTAGTTTTCTTAATAGTACTGTTGTTCCTCTTTAGTATTATTTATTAATCCAATTGATAAAATGGAAGTATATTAGTCAAATAACTTGGCATAAGTACAAATGAAATCATAAACATGATATTAATTTATAAACACAAAATTAAATTGCATCAGATAGTAATCTCAGAATATGTGTGAACTTCAGAGGATTGAATAATATCATATATCGTAATCATTTCCCAACTCCCATTTATGGATGAGAAGCTAGAATAACTAAATATAATAGGAAGTGTTTAAATTTTTTTATAAATTGTAATTATATATAAAAATTATAATAACAACCATTATATCCAAATATAGTTTAGGGTATATTCTATTAATCTGTGACAGTTATCAGTGATTCTACAATACTAAGGAAATAGAGTCAGAGGATTGGTGAGAAGTTTATAAAAGAATAAAAAGAAAACGTTGTTTGGTTTGAAGGGTGAAAGAGAAAGAGAAGGGCTGACGGGCCATCAAGCACGTCACCAGATTCTTTGAGCGCCGAGGGCTGAGGAAGGGCAGAGGCGCGCTTTTCTCCCACCGATCCGCCCTAGACAAATCTTTTAGCTCCAGCTGCGCGGTGCGCGCGGTCCTCTGCCGATCCAGGCGCCCTCGCGACCTCTTCGAGGATTGGAAGAAGCAATCGATCGTTCCAGCGGAGAAGCTGTGAGTGTTTTAGGTCTGTGGGCTTCATGCAAGCTCCTGGGTTTAGCAAAGCTCGTATTGGGAAAAGCTCTAGAAATGTCGATGGTCGCGGCGATAGATAGGTTGATCCAAGATCGCAACATGGACAAAGATCCGGTCATCGCAGCGCCGCCGCCACGCTCGCCGCCTTACGGGCTGGTCAAGGAAAGAAGGTTCTACCAGGATGATATGGTCGGAAAGACGCTGAATGACAAGCAAGCTCTGGTGGCCGAAGGAAAATCGCCTGCTACTCCCGCTGCTGCTACTCCTCGCAAGCTTGGTACTCCTTCCGGCTATGGCGAAGATTTCTTCTTCGATGCTCCAGAGTCTCCATTCGCAGGTAAGTCTTTACTTCTTTGCTTTACTACTTGTTCTATCTCTACTCGTTTGAGATTTTCGTTCTTTCTTTTTGTTCTTCTACTTGGTGGTCGTTTGAGATTTTTTCCTTCGATTTTTCGCACTAGTGCTTATGTGATTTTTCTTACAGGCAGTGAGACGTCGTCCCAGTGTGACTACTCCGGAGTGGAGACCTCCACGACTCTGGCAGAGGCTACCGCGGACTCGGCGAAGCATCAGCAAGACATGGAAGAGCTCGAGCGATACAAGAAGGCGGAGGAAACGCTAGAGATTGTTCTCCAGAAGCTAGCAGACGGTGGTTTGGCGGTGCCACCGACGCTACTCGAGAGGAATGGAGGAGCGCTAGAAGTGGAGGACTTGGACATAGTCGGGCAGCTCCAGATAAAGAAGATGGTGGAGGCGGCGGTGGCGAGAGGGGCTGCCAAGGCCGAGTGCGAGGAGCAGCTCCAGGCGGAGCTGGAGAGCAAGAACACGGAGATCGAGACCAAGAACCGCGAGGTGACGAGGCTGCGGGACAAAGTTCGATACAACGAGCTCCTCAACCGGGAGATTTCGCAGAGAAACCAGGAAGCCATCGGTAAGTTCGTTGTGTTAGATGGATCTCATATGCAAACTTCGTTCTTTCTCTTCTTTTTTTTTCGCTAGAAATGGCTCGAAGCAAGCGTAGAGCGAGGAAGAGGATGATCCGGTGGGCCGTGGGCTCAGCCTCGGCGGCCATCGTGGGTGGCATCGGTGTAGCACTTGTGTACAAGTACTCGTCGTGGGAATTTTTGAGAGCTAGCAAGCCTGAGGCGACGTCTGAGTAAGAAGACAAGGAAAAACAAAGAGAAAAAAGAAAAACTAAACAATGGATAATAAGTCTTTGTTACGATGTCTCGTGTTTTTTTTTCCTGGATTTGTTGAAAGCTGCAAAACCATGTAACTTCAAGCAATATGCCAAGCTTCAATAACCTCTTTTAAGTTAAATAACAGAAAAAGTATATTAAACCAACCTCCCGTTTGATCTGCTTGGAGGAAGACTAGGTGTGGAAAGCTGTGCTGGACAGTCTAATGATGAATCTATCAAGCAGAAAACAAAAACTTTTCAGGTTCAGCTCCTTAAGGATAGAGCACTAGTCTACACTGGCTGGTTCCATCTCCTCCAACGCCCTATTTTGAGATTCTATGGAAAATTAGGGAAGGATATGTTAACGACGCATGAAGGCATAAGCACTGTATATTTCGCTGGGAATCCCACAAAACAATGTCTTGTTCGTACGGAGTTTCATGTTTAAATTACAAAAACCATGTAAAATTCAAGCAATATGTCTTTACATGATATGTTACACTGGTGCCAAGCCTCAAATTTTTTTTTGGCTTTCACTTGGTTGCGTCCGTGATCATAGCTCTCGTCCACTGCTCGATGTCCTCGGCCTGCGATGGCGGTGGCAACAACGGAGTCTCGACCACGTCCCACTCGTCCCCTCCACTGTCAGAGAATTTTCTCGCTTCTCCGCCGATGCAAAAGAAGTCGCTCATTTCCATCCGGCTTTGGTTCCGCAATGCCTGGAGTTTGAGCTTTTGGAGAATTCAAACACATTACGAAGCTTTCAAACAAAGAAACTAAACAGTACCTTACCTCGTGAGAAGAGAAGTAGCTCTGGAGAAGCGAGCCGTCGGCTCTGGTGTTGCTGTTCATCAGCGCTGGCCTCGTGTTGCTCGGTCTGGAAACTCAATCCATGTCGGTTCAAGTTCTTGAATGAATGGAACGCGAGTGGGAGAGCCATTGTACCTTGTTTTGGATTCCTTCGACGAGAGCAAAGCGAGGAGCTCCATAAAGGTCTCAAATGTGGGCAGGGTGGATGGCATTGGCACTCCTAGCATTGCGTAGCCGTAGACACAGATGCACGAAACGCTCCGCTTCAAGAGCTTGACAGCTTGCCTCACGTCTCGATCGCTGTCGCTTTGAGTAGACTCGCTGCTGCCAAGCTTGAGAAATCTCGGTTTTTCGAGTGACAGAAAGCTCGATCCACTGCTACTGGCATGACTGTCTGACTTCCCGGACTTGTCCGCCTTTCCATCTGAAGATAGCTTTACCCGCTCTCCCTTTCGTGGGAGAAACAATGGATACTCCTCACTAGAAGTTTAAACACGACTAGTAAGTAAAATGGAGGATTTCTATAAACGATTACCTGCGGGAAACCGGAGAAGCGTCCCAGTATGATGTTCGTTCCCAGATTCTAGACGAAGAGGCCTAAGTAAAAATAAACTTGTGTCATCCGAAGAGAAGAGTTTCTCTTTACCGCAAATGCAGCGTTATGGAGCATTGGAGTCATCAAGTAACGTCCTGTTTGGTAGACAAGCTGCACCATATACCCCAGAGAGGCAGAAAGATCTTCTGTGCTCACAGAATGAGGATCGTCTCTGACTGGCAAACATGCTCCACAGACACGAAGAAGTTGCCTCTCCTTTGATCCCCGAGGCTTGTCTGAATCCCCCTATATCCGTCCATTAGGCTCCACATAAAGCTTGAAAGTGTTTATACGAGAATAAAAATGACTCACTTGCAAGTAATGCAGAGGGAAAACTTTCGTCAGGTGCCGGAACACATGCCTTCGAGCTAGATTCACTTCTGTCAACAGAGCTGTCTGAGAAGAAAATGTAAGAAAATAAGAAGAGAAAATCGCTGAGATCATACCAGCTTCGCAATATGTGCACGCATAAGATCAGGATAGAAGACTTCAAACAGCTCCTGTTGTATTCTGTTCAACTAGAAAACCGTGAAGAACAGAGTTAGCCACATTTCTGACTCTTTCAGGGAGAAAATGCACCTGGCTAGAAACAGTGTCCAAATATTTCCTGCGTGCTTCGTATTCACTTTTTCTTTTCTCAGCTTTCAGCTTGCCTGGAAAAGCACGAGTCAGAAAAGAAACACCGAAAAAACTTCATTGATTTCTTACTCTGGACTAAGAGTTTCTCATTCTTGTGACTGGAACTCTGCAGCTTAGTTTTTAATTCCAAGCGTTCGATGCTCAGATGCCGCTGAGCATCGGCCTCTCTCTAGAAAAAATTTCAAACGCTTAGAACATGGAAAAGAAGAAAAAACTGCCAGCAAAAGAGAACCTTGGCTCTCAGCTCCGCATCCATGCGATTGCGAAGAGCATCGCGTTCGTGGGTCAATCTCCTCACAATCTTATATTTCTCGGCGAGCCTGTCCAGAGAATAAGAAAGAAAATCACGCGACGCGTCGAGCAAGCACTCACCGGAGATTGACGCAAGAGACGCACACCGCCGGCTGATTCGCGGCCTCACACACGCCGCAGGAGCAGCCGCGTCGCGCCATCGCCCACAGCTCGAACGCATCAAACCCTAAGACCCTGTTTTAGGGCTCCCACTTTTAGGGCAAAAGCGAATAGTTGGGTATATTCTACCAGATATGAAAACCATAGGCGGGACGATTTATTTCTTAGCAAGGTAGTAGAGCTCTACATAGTCAAGCGCGGGCCGATTCCATGACCAATCTTGCTCCATTACCTTCTGGCACAACGAATGAAACCAATCTCGCGCGTCATACCAAGCGGACAATGCCCTGTGGAGAAAAATCATCAAAGCCAATTCACTTCTTCGAATTTTTCTTGCTTGCACGTACCTGTTCAATGCATAGTCCACTCCTGCTGCGTCCGTGCCTTCGAAGCTAAAGCCATTTGGTTCCAGCCCTTGCGACTGTGCTCGATCTTTGTCATGGTCGGCATCAAACACCGTGTCGTTCAATCCTGGCAAAGAATATCGAAACGCTTCTTCTGGAGAGATCGCGATTCATACCTCCAGTCTTTCGAACAACGGGAATGGCACCGTATCGCATTGCCGTTAGTTGAGTCAAGCCGCAAGGCTCAAAGATGGATGGAACTAAGATGAAGTCTGCACCAGCATATATCTGCAAAACGTCCAGTTTAGCTACTCGGAGCTTTGATCAGATTGCGCCTTACCAAGTGAGATAATGGTTCATCGTATGTGAGACACAACCGTGCCATGTCGTTGTGAAAGTTCTTAAGCTGATGCGAGAGATTCACAAAGTCGTTTTGTACTCGAGGATCCGGAGCAGATCCCAGAAGGACCACCTACGAGAAAAACGATATTCATATATCACGGCTGGAATCAACAAACCTGTCCACCGCGCTCCAGAGTTCGCCATATCGCATGCTTGATAAGGTGAATTCCTTTTTGCGCTGTTAGCCGGGTGATGATGCCGACTAAAGGTTTATCCACTTGCTGCAAACCAAGCCTGTGCTGGAGCTCACTTTTAGCAGCTCTTTTGCCTTCCACAACTTGCTCTGCTGTGTAAGAAACCTGTAAAGTAGTGTTAAATACGCAGCTCAAACCGTCACTTGAAAAGAAAATCATACGGGAATGTAAGGATCGTCAAACGGGTCCCAAATATCCAAGTCGATTCCGTTCCTGATGCCATGAAACTTTCCACGATGAGGGGCAATTGCTGGACTCCCAGAAACTTCTTGTGCATAGCTATGTGAGACCTGCAAATTTGTTACGTTCATTCAAAGGCTTTTATGAACTCAGTAAGCTTACCGTGGTTGCCATGTTTGAACTTGCCATTGCCTTTCCCACCTGGGCAATTCCAAACTCTAAATTATGTATGGTAAACACAATTCGCGCGTTGGACAAAGCATAGTGCTTGTAGCTTTCTTGAAACAGCCAGGCTACCGGCGCAGTCGACCAATCGTGACAATGAATAATATCCTGGGAAGCAGAGCTTATAAAGATTATAAAAAAAGAACGGCTTAGAAACTTACAGGACGTCTTCCACTTCGCAAAAGAAACTCCAGTGCTGCATTGCAGAAAAAACCAAAGCGATGTCCATCATCTCTGCGACCATATATACAGCCAGCCCAAAAGAAGCTGCAAAAAGAAAACACTACGTGAGTGGAATATATATTAAGCATACCCGTTCTGCGGTTCAATGAAATGTACGTTTAGGCCTTCTACTTTCCCATTCCAAACGCGAATGGTGGTTCCTCCCCAGCCAAACGACTCTTTCTCTTGAAGTTCCTCGACCTGCCATTTGTTACGTGGTTAGATCCGACAGAGATACTACTCGCAACAAAACCGTTGTTTACGTGATTGTATTTCAGGCAGTCATACTTCGGAAGGATAATCTCCACGTTATGGCCCAGTTCTTGTACAGCACGTGAAAGACTCGTGACAACATCACCTAGACCACCCACCTGTAAAAGATGGCTCCTTAGGACCATCCCGAGAACAGGCATGAGGTAAGACAAAATGTTAACGGGACAAGAGAAATACCTTTGCAATAGGAGCCATTTCGACGGAAATATGAACAATGCTCATAGGTGGCTCCTTGCCAATCCCGCCATGAACTGGGATGTGATAGTCAAAACCACCGCGATTGTCATAAGTTCCTCCATTGTCATCCCCTCTTTCAGAAAACACGCAGTCCATTATGTAAGCATCGACTGGGACTTCAACTGCACAGAACAACGAATTAGATATACACGATAATAGAGAAGATGAGAGACTATACCTGTTGCCTTGAGGTGGGTAGTGCTTGGAACCTCTTTCATTCTTACCGGTGGGAAAGGGCTTAGTTGATGTGTCCAGCGGTTGAAAGAATGCCTCAACCATACCTCAGGCTTCCCGCTTAGAACAGTGTTCTGTGGATTATAAAGCACTGAGACAGGTTCTCCGGCGTTCACTTCCATTGGATCCGTGTAATAAACGTGAGACTGCGACTGCAAAAATGCTTGTTTCGTCTTTTGTTTCATCTCCTCTTTCTTCTGTGCTTTGTACAGTTTCTACAGAACACACACAAGTTATAAAGTTATGGAACAAAAATACAGTAATACCAACCTTTTTACGTGCAGCCTCTTCTCTTTCCTGCCGCTGCTTTCGGATCTCAGAATACACCTGCTCTTCAACATCTGCCCAATACAACTCCTCAGCAACGGGTTCGGGAACAGCCATGTGGAAATCCTGGTAGTCATTGTTGTCATAAGTTGATGCTTTCTCCGGTGGCCCGTCTGCAAACACCCAATTGAGCATGAACGCTGCCTTGGGAACAGAAACTGCAAAGAAAAAGGAAGAAAACTTCGTCAGTCGTCGATGTAAAAATAATTACTAGACTCGCACCTTCAACTGACCACCAGTCTCCGCTCCTCGACGAAGAGGGCACAAGCTTTTCGACCACAGAGACAGCGTCTTGCCAATTGTTGTAGCCTCCGTGTATCCAGATTTCTGTGCTTCGGGCAAGTGATCGAGAGGAACGATTGTAGAAGAGCTTCACTGTCTCCCCTGCTTTGAAACTCGTAGGCTCTGCGTCCCAAAGTCCCGGCACACTGGGCAATGCTTGTTGTAATACCATCCTGGCTCGTTCTCTCCGTTGAGCAACGATCCTTTTGGCCTCGTCTCTATCCGCTTTCTCCGCAGCTCGTTGCTCTGCCAGCTTACGAGCCTCTGCGGCAGCTCGGTCTTTTTCTGCTTGTTCTTGCGCAAGCCTTTCAGCTTCTTTCCTCTTCTCCAGCACCAAGAAGTTCTCAAACTCGCGTTGATCCATGCCGTCGTCCACGAGAACGAAGAAGTCCTTTGTGTCGTTGTTCTCGTAGACATTTCCGTTGAAGAACACGAAGTCCATTCGATATGCTTCTTTGGGAACGTCCATTTTACAGGCCCACCAATCTCCACCAAGTTCACTTTTTTCCAACTTTAATGTGAATGGTTGCCATCGCCAGCCATTAAACGACCCCATAATCTGCACACTGTCCTCGCTTGCTAGCACCGTTATGCTCCGGTTGAAGTAGATTTCGACCTCAGCACCAGCCTCAACTTTCTGCGGGTAGTAAAATATTTTGCTCATCGTAAAAGCACTGGCATCAGCTAGTTTGGCTATCTCCCGCTTCCTGGCTGCTTCTTTCGCAATCCTTTCCCTCTCCTTGGCTAGAGCGAGCTCAATTTCCCTTTTCTTAGCCTCCTGTTCGAGCTTCTTTTTTTTCTCTGCCTGTTGTTTGGCTAGAATCTGTTCCAGCTCCCGTCGTCTAGCAGCAGTGGCTTCTTGGTCTGCTCTTTTCCTACTCTCCGCCTCGGCTATCTCCTCCTCTGTTCTCCTTCTTTTCTCTGTTTCCTTTTTGATCTCCTTGATCTTCAACGCATAGTCGCTTGCATTAGCCTCCGTGACATCGTCCTTGTCTTTCACCTCCGAAACTTTGACAGTAGAGTTATCACCACCAGAGTCGTCCTCCTGCCGATCAGCAGCTTCCGTTTTTCCTTTCAGCCGACCCGAACCAAACCTTTCAACCTCTTCTTCTATCCTCTGCTTTGCAACCACGTAATCAACTTCCTGGTGCGCCGAGATGGAGGCCGATTGAGAGCGCATCTTCTCTAGAACCTGGTCCTGCTCTCCATTCTCTGCCACAGTTGGTTCTACCACTACTTTCTCCGTCCCAGCCGTCTCTGTTTCCTCGTCATTGCTGGTTTCTCGACCAGCCTTGGCCGTCTTTACCTCGAAACTAGTAGCTTCAGAGACATCGTCCGGTTTGGACGTCTTCTTCTCTTTGAGCTTTTGCTGGAAGCCTTTCTGTCGTTCACCTGTGCCAAAAGAAAAGAAAAAAAACAGAAGAAAGAACATCACAATGTAGTAAAGTAATGCATCGTACCTGCGCATACAATTGTCTTGAAATTCCTGCGCGACGATCTTCTTTCCCGTCGACACTGGAAGAATACCAGACAATGTGTCAAGCAGTAGATCGATCAGGAGCATTTCCATCGAAATTCATCCCAAAACTAGCTAGAATTGTCCAGATCCACGAGACTCACCCAGATTAAGAAGCGCTCATTGCTAGATCCAAGCCCTCCCGCCGATGAAACCTTCCACGCCGCGGCCGACGCCGCCACGAGCGACGCCGCGGTTGCCATGGCTCACCGCAGCTCCACCGCGAAGAAAACCTAGCAATAATCACACTGGCTTCTTCCACTCCATAGCTCCGCGCCGTACCACGTGTTTCGTGGTGGCCACACAAAAATGTGGCTACTACATTTTAGGGCTATCCGTCAAAACTGTACGGCATATATAATTAATCTGGATAAACACGAGCAAAAACTTTACATTGTATCCTATCGAGCACAAAGAACGTCTTCGTAAAACTTACATTTCATGACAATCCATGCGCTTCCAGATTCGCGATTCTTTCCATCATTTTCTTGACGAGTCCATTCCTCAAGGCCAGGTGCATGACAAATCAGGTTAACTAATCTTGGCAAGTGCCGAGTTTGGGTATCTGACCACTTCAAGTTGCCAGATGGAATGCCACAATGCGACATCAAGGTGACGCTGCAGGTTCTGGTTTGCGAGATCGCGAAATAATGTGTGTTCAGCATCTATCAGAAGATCTCCAGCTAGTCCCAAGGATGCCTTTCGTGTCCTTCAACTCGCAACTACCAAAAGAAGCTCTTTCAGGCTGTGCTCTAATGTGGCCTATGCTCGAGCAGGAAAGTTGCATGAGGCCAAACGGTTGCTTGATGAGATGCAACGAGATCTATTTGCGTATAATGTGAACATATGCTGAAGTCCATGCTTGATGGGAAGCTCAAGAATGGGCTTCTAGATATGGTCAGAATGGAAGGGTCACCTCTAGAACAAGTTGTACCTTACATATGGTGTGGAAAACGCGTTCATTTTTGTCACATGCACGCCTGATCTTATCACCGTACTGCTTCTGCTGGCATGTCACTCTCAGGTCCAGCTCCAGCTCTGGAGACAAAGACAACAAGTCACAGGTCGTAGCATTTCATGTTTATGGCATAGGAATAGGACATGAATAATCTATTATCCTGAACACTGTTCCTTTTGTCCTCGAATGCAAGGCATAGCTTTGGAACTATGGGGCCTCATGACCTAATGTTTGTATCCATCTAGTGCGTGGAAAACGTGCTCAAGATCGGTATTAGAATAAATAGAGCTGGCATTTGCTAAGGAAATTAAACGTCCCATTTGAGTCGAGCCGCTTAACTTAGCATTCGCACCTATGGGTTTCCTTAGTAGTGCTGCTTATGCTGGCAGTAAGTATAGGAAGGAGCTAAGCACTATCACATACTAAGCTTCACCTTTAGCTTCATTTCATTTGGTTACACTGTTTTGGTGTGCTGGGGAAAAGTCTCCACTTTCTACCATCTATTCAGGTGCTATGGTGGATGCCATTCAGGTCCAGAGCGTCGAGGGCCTGCGGTCTTTCCACGGGACAAATAGCTGCAATGGATGTTCTCCCATCGATCCGCCTCATAAACTTGGAGGAACTTGCTATCCAACTTTGTTGAGTTTTTGCTGATGTCACTCTATTGTTCCAGCAGATCAATCTTCGCTAAAGATATCTGGATAAGCTGGATGGAGCTCGGCAACCAATCCTTGGCTACATCTCTATAAAGAATACTCCCGACGGCAAGACCACAACATTTGGCTATACAGAAACAAAGGAGGGCTTTTGGGCACTAGTACATATATGAGAGGCAATGGAGTCTACTTCCAGGACCCATTACCATCACCACCACTTTCTCTTCCGTGCCTCCGGAGGACTTCGTGCAACCGCAGCGGGATTCAAAGGCTACGCGGCTGGAATGTGTCCGGCTCCAGTGACCAAGAAACTGGACAACAGAGTTCGCCAGTTCATGCGGCACAGGCAAAAACTAATCTTGCTCTTCCAGTGAAGGAGCGATCGTCGCGAGACAATGTCATTTCAAAGGCTGCTACAGGGTTTATTGAGAACAAGTATGGAATTCGTCAGTCTATCATTTTTAATCCCTTCAACATGGACTGGGAGATAATCTCGATCTCCCAGTGACAATGGTAGAGAAACGAATTCATTCTCCACGGAAGAGCAAATGTAAATTCTTTGCTTGTGTTTATCCAGATCAATTATATCTGCCATACAAATTTAAATAAAATGTATATTTTTGCTGTACAGTATTGAAGAGTAAAAAGGAAGTCAGGGTTTCATTCATTCATATACCGTTTACATGGTATACAAGAAGCATGGGACCAGGGAATGAATGAGACTTAAATCCCTCGGTCTCATGCTTCTTGGGACGTAAATAGAATATGAATAAATATGAAATAAGTGATTGTCTAACTGTTAAGTAAATAAGAGAATATTCCAAGAATATTTTAGTGCGTGGAAAACGTGCTCAAGATCGAAGTTGAGCCAGGCACTAGAATAAATAGAGCTGGCATTTGCAAAGGAGAACATCCCATTTGTGCAGCAAGTCGAGCGAGCATGTGCACCTTATGGGTTTCCTTCATAGTGCTGCTTATGCTGACAGTGAGTATAGGAAGGAGCATTGACATACTAAGCTTCAACTTTTATTTTCTTGAGCTTCAATTCTTTGGTTGCACTGTTTTATAGGTGTGGTGTGCTGGGGAAAAGTCTCCACTCTATGGTGGGACTAGATGGGCAGAAAAGTTTGATGATGGTCCATCTTCAGGCATTCTGAGTCTTACAATTTATTCAGGTGCTGTAGTGGATGCCATTCAGGTGCAGACCGTTGAGGGCCTGCGGCCTTTCCATGGGACAAATACCTGCAAGGGATGTTCTCCCATCAATCCGCCTCATAAACTTGGGGGAACTCGCTATAAGGTACACACAACTTCGTTGACTTTTTGCTAATGTCACTCTATTGTTCGAACAGATCAATCTTCGCTACCCAGATGAGTATATATACAAGATTTCTGGATACGCTGGATGGAGCTCGGTGAGCAAAACTTGGGGTCTCAGCCAATTTTACATCTACATAAAGAATAGTGTCCACGGCAAGACCACAACTTATGGACCATTTGGCTATACAGCAGCACGAGAGAATTTTAGCTCAAAGGAGGGCAAGATTGTGGGCTTTTGGGGCTACGCCTCTACTACTACATATATGAGAGGCATTGGCGTCTACATCCAGGACCCATTACCACCACCATCTCCTCCGCCACCATCACCACCACCATCTCCTCCGCCACCATCACCACCGCCTCCAGCAGCAAGCTGCATTCCCTATCAGCTAAATTGTGTTTGTTGCTACGAGACTCCGTCAGCCAAGTGTTGCCCAGAAGATTACAAATGCGAGAGTTACAAAGGTGAATGGAAATATCTCTCGAAATGCGTGCAAAAATACTCCTTTGATGCCTGAAATTATCAGCTGATTTAAAATGATATAAATTTAATACAAAATCACTAAGCCTCTAACCTCCACCAAAATATAGACTGTGGTTATGGATTACAAGCGGGTGATAATTGGATGCAGTTGCTACATTTTAGGGCTATATGTTAAAACTGTACGGCAGACATAGTTAATCATCTGGAATGAATCATTGCCATTGTCACTGGGAGATCGAGATTGTCTCCCACAGCGACAATCTCGAAAAGCTCACTGGAAGAGCAAGCTTAGTTTTTGCCTGTGCCGCATGAACTGGCTAACTTTGCTATCCAGTTCCTTGGTCACTGGAGCCGGACACATTCCAGCCGCGTAGCCATTGAATCGCGCCGCGGCGCTCGATCGCACGAAGTCCTCTTCCGCGAGCTCGCCAAAGAGCTGCAAGAGAAGTGGTCGTCTTCGCAGCTCAAACTTCTGCAAGAACAAATGGAGCAAAGCTCGTCCCTAGAGATGATTCCAGCTTCTAGTACCTGGTGTTCTAGCTCCGCGGGATAGAACGTTTCGAGAGGCTCGATCTCTGTAGCAACCATCGTGTATGGTCGCTTTGCTTGTTCTCTTTCTTTGCTCACTGTTGCCAGAAAAGCCTCGTCCTCGTTCTGTGTAAAAATGATGGACCTGGCGAGTGAAAAAAGAATGAGATCGAAAGAATCACGAAGGAAAAGGGCAAACTTCACAGCTGACACACCTGTATTGCTCGCCCACATCAGGTCCTTGTCCAAAAACTTGCGTCGGATCGTGAGCCGCCCAGAACGCGTCTAGCAGCTGCTCGTAGCGCACGCGAGCCGGATCATACTCGATCTGGAAAGATTTCGATCAGCAGCAGCCTACATTGCCCCTAGGTCAATCGATCCATCGGGAAGGAAAAAGCGCAAGGCATACCTCCACGGATTCCGCATGATCGCCGATATTTCGATACTCGGGGCTCTGCTTGCTCCCGCCGCAATACCCTACTCTCGTTCTCACCACTCCGGGGATGCATCCAAACGCCGCCTCGCCACTCCAGAAGCTCCCCACCGCGAACACTGCGATCTTGGGATCCATCGCCGGAGGATAGTCCACACGGATCGAGCTGCCGGGGCGCAGCGCCAGCGCCAGCGCCGAGAGAGCGATCAGCAGCAGCCATGGAGACATCGCTGCGCTTTTAGAATTTGACCTTACAAGATCAAAGGTATGTCCACGTGGCGATAGAATATCCGACACGTCAGCTTCTCCCACATCCTCCCGATTTTCAAGCTAAGCTTCCCGAAACACTCGCAAGCAGCAAGAAACACGGATCATCCACCTGAGAAACTATAGATTGCCGAGCTCAAAGACTATGCGCGTGCCTGGTGGAATTCGATTGCTACAGCGGCGAGGAGCTCGTCAAAGCCGCGATCCAGAGGCAACAGGTAGCTGGCCTTACCTTGATCGTGATGCTTGGATCGCTTTCGTTCTCGGCAATGTACAAAATCTACTATGTCCACGAATCCAGCGCCGCGCTGCTCATAGGTGTGCATTCTCAAAAAGTGGACTACAAGCGATACCACTGGTTTGTCATAGATGATTTGCTTTATTATCGAATTGAAGCTCTTAATTCCAGAAATCAAACGGATATAGAGTATTTTGGCATGCATTTCGAGAGATCTTTCCATTCCTCTTTAGAACTCTCCCATTCCTAATCTTCTAGGCAACACTTGGCTGATGGAGTCTCGTGACAACAAACACATAACTTATAAGGAATAGGCGGTGGTAGGCGGAAGAGAAGGTGGTGTTGATGGTAATGGGTCCTGGAAGTAGACTCCAATGGCTCTCACATATGTACTAGTGGAGGCATAGCCAAAAGCTCACAATCTTGCCCTCTTTTGAGCACTGTTGCTGTATACCCAAATGGTCCACCTAAGTTGTGGTTTTGCGGTGGACACTATGCTTTAGATAGATGTAGAATTGGCTAAGACCCCAAAGTTTGGTCGTCGAGCTCCATCCAGCGTGTATAGATTCCTGCTCGAGCATAGGCCACATTAAAGCACAGCCTGAAAGGGCTTCTTTGTCAGATGCGAGTTGCAGGACACCAGCAGCTCTTGCAGCGTCACCTTGATGTCGCATTGTGGGCATTATCTCGAATACTTAGTTAGCCTTCCGAAAACGTTACAAACGCAGAAAGATGATGATCAAGTTATAAGATGCACAGTCTCGAAACTGCATCTGGAAAAAGATTTGCTTGGACTGTCCAGGTACCCATTCTGGGCAGCCAGCCTCCTTGCAACACCTGACTTCTCATGCACTCGGCCTTGAGGAATGGATGCGTCAAGAAAATGATGGAAAGAATCGCAAATCTGGAAGCGGATGTGGGACTTGAGCGATGGACTGACTGTGTGCATCAGTTCAGAAATCTCAATGCGATTGTGGACGATGAAATGTAAGTTTTATGAAGACGTTGTTTGTCCTCGATAGGATACATGACCGAGAAGGAAATGGCGCTGAATGCTTCTAAAACAAAAGGTTCGTGCTGTGCGCTGGCTAAGTATTACTTTGTTTCGGTTTTTCCCTTTTTTTTCGTTTTTTTTTTGAATTGAAGAACAGGTATTTGTTGATTTTAACGCATGTCACAATTGACAACACATGATCTAGTGTGGAGCTTGAAATGGTTTTCGAGAACAGCGTCATCTCTTGGACAATGCTGATGCTCGGCTGTGTGGTGGAGAATGGGGAGGAAGAGCTGGCATTGGAACCCTTGGAGCTGGACAATCAAGTGTAATTCGTTGCTGCTATCAAGGCCTGTGCTGCTCAAGCCGAGAAAGAAGCTGGAGTTGACAGTTGCCAAGCTCTCTACCAGTATAAAGCTAAAAAAGTTGAAGGAGATAGGGCTGGAGCTCAAGGCCACTATGACACAGACATGTTTGTAGGAAAGGATCTTCTGGAACTATATGCGAAGTGTGGAAGCAAGCTCAAAATTAAAACGAATTAGAGAAAAGTTTAAGAAGAAACCTGGATATTTTAGGTATATCCTATCTTCTATAGGTTTTCTGCTTTGATGTAATCTTTATAAACAAATATTGCGAATGGCAGAAATCCCAGCATTTTTTAAAACAATAAAAACTAAGAAAAAATATAATCATTTTTAGATTAAAAGAGAAAACAATAATAATAATCTTGAACATAAGTTACACCTCACTCACTTCACCATGGAAATAGATATAATAAACAGTTTCAAACAGTCCAAAATATTTACCATAGTTTCACAAAACTAGGAATTGCGTTATTTCAATCAATAAGCAAAATTAAAACATTATTTTTCAAGTTTAGACCATATTAAAATAATTTTAAGTTTGATTTATATAGATAGATAGAGAGACATTTTTAAAATCACCGTTAAGCATGGAACTATGCTAATGTTTCCTACTCAATCCTTCTAGAGCATCCAGATTAATGTTATTTCAATGAATAAGCAAAACTTTTAGACCAAAATAAAATAATTTCAATAAAGGGGCGGGTTAATAATATGAATTAGTTCTAACAGTAAACTGGGCGTTTAGGGCACCATGCTATTCTGGGCATCTTAATTCTGCGTGGTTATTCTAATCCAAGGCGATAAACGCCGCCGTTTAGTCTTCCTTCCCAAGGGCAAGGGCGCGACGAAGACGACGAACAAGAGCGCGAGGATTGCAGCAACAGGTTTAGCTTAAACACTCGCGCTTTCCTCTCTCACTCTAGATTCTAGATTCTAGACCTAGGAAGACGAGCTTTAAAGGACAAATCCTCAAATCCTCCTCGCTTTGCTTTGTTTACCTCCAGGTGATGGACTCGACGCTCAATCCTCCTCTCCACGACCACGGCCAAGACGAGAGCAAGCATCGCGGCGGATCACCGGTGCTCTACAAGGAGTGCGTTAGAAACATCAACGCCGAGAATGGAGGAGAGGAAGTTCACGATGGATGCCAGAAGTTCACGGCCGCCGGAAAGGACGGAAGCCCGGAGGCGCTCAAGTGCGCGGCTTGCGGATGCCACCGGAACTTTCATCAGCAGGAGAGTGAGACCCCGACAGCGATCAAAGGTTCCGACTTGACGCAATTCGCCGACGATATCCTGGGGGTTGTCAAGAAGACGAAGCGCAAGAACACTCACCGGGCCATCAATCTGGCCACGCAAGTCCTCGAGCACGTCTCCAAGCTGCTCAACATTCTCGCCCAAGTGATCGACGATCCCGACGACACTGGCAAGGTAGCAGCTAGTGGTCAGAACAGCAAAGCAAAGGCGAAGGAAGAAAAACGAACCTCTTGCGAAGAGGCGCTGGCTGTTGTTGTGGCGTCGTCCAAGGACAAAGCTCAGAGTCCGGATGATAGCACTCCAAAGGAGAAGCGAAAGAGGACCATCTTCAGCGCCGAGCAGCTCACCAAGCTCGAAGCTCTGGCCGAGAGTGTGCACTGGTCTCTGGGAAACATACCCAAGGATCAACAGGCGAGTGCTGCCATGGAGATCGGGATAACGGTCGAATCGCTTAAGTACTGGTTCCACAACAGGAAACAGAAGAAGAAGCCAACCCGGAAGTCGTGAGCTTCTCTCTCTGTGTATGTATCCTAGATAGAATTCAAAGTCGCTCGAATCGAATTTTGTCTTTTGCTCTCTTTTACGTCAATACCGCTCCTCCAAAAACTCTGGTGTCAATCAAGCTGGTAGTGATTCGGAAGAAACAATAAATAGAAGCTTACCTTTCAAAAGATTTCATCATCGGGAATTTGAGGCTTCAAAAACTTCATAGGATCCGCTTCTGCATCCTTGATGTCACGCCTTCTCTCGATCTTTTTCTCGGGCATAGCAGGCACAGGAATGATGTTCTCTTGGTCGATAACACCATCGATCAACCCGTACTCCATAGCTTCCACTGCCGACATGTAACGATCTCTGTCTATGTCTTTCTCGACTTGCTCAAATGGTTTCCCAGTTATCTCTGCGAGGATCCGAGTAAAGTTGTTCTTGTGGAACATGATCTCCTTGGCCTGGATCTCAACGTCAATAGCTTGTCCGCTAGCTCCACCCATAGGCTGATGCACCATGATGCGTGTGTTGGGCATTGCAAAGCGTTTCCCCTTTGTCCCCCCAGCGAGAATGACCGAAGCAGTGGAAGCCGCTAGACCAAAGGCGATCGTCGACACTTCTGCTCGGCAAAGCTGGATCGCGTCATAAATTCCCATCGCAGCACTGCAACACCAATCAGTCAGGAACCAAAAGCAGGAAATTTTGTTTTGAAAAAAACTAGAATTACCTCACAGACCCCCCAGGACAATTGATGAACATCCTGATCTCCTTCTTGGAATCCATCGCGTCCAGCAGGAGAAGCTGGCTGATGATCGCGTCCGCCACGAAATCATCCAGCTGATGCCCTAGAAAGACCGTTCGCTGCCTGAGCAACAATCCCATGACATCCGCCTCAGCAGATTTCTGCCCGGGCGGCGCCGCCGTGCTGGCCACAGCTCTCGATGTGTCGCCATGGACGAAATCCAGTGGAGCCATCGAAATTCCCAATGCACTAGCGCTCAATCTAGCAGCAGCACGTACCGTGAGCGGCAGCCGAGATCTCCTAGCGCTGATGCTCGTCGCGCGCAATGGCTGATCAAAGCTGTGGATTGGCGAGGAAGCGCATGCCGCCGCCGAGAGCGCCATGGACGCGGCTCTTGCCGCCATAGCCTAAAACCCTAGGCCTGTATTCTCTTCTTCCCCCTACATTCCGAGCCAGAATGGCGAGCGGATATTCCCATTTTGTTTTCACGATCCTTATTAGGGTTCCAACGGCCATGGAGGAGATGCTCCAAATGGATGAGATGCTCCAAATGCTGCGGTACTACGAGAAGGCGCGATCGGAAGGAATAGCCGCCGAGAATCTGGAGTTAGAGGTGAGATTTCTTCCCGCGATCTGGTATAATCTTCGTTTCTTTCGTAGGCGCTGCTCTCCGCAATGCACCAGCATGAATCCAGAGCTACTAGTGATGATATTTCCGGGACAAGGAGGCGAGAGGAGGATGTGGAGCGGCAAGAAATTCTTCCCAAGCCTTTCTTCGTTGTGAAGACGCTCAACGAGAAGAAACAGAAGGTTTTCATCAACATTTGTGGATCTGACAAAGTAAGGGTTTTCTATCTTCTCTTGTGTAGAGAAAACAAAACTTTCTAAGCTAAATCTTCTCGGGGTTTTCTTGTTTTTTCTTCACGAATTGGCAGACCAATCGTGCAGATTCCTGGGCCGGAGGATTGGGAGGAAGGAATTCCTCCATCCGTGGAAGAGGCATTAGCTTCCAATGACGAATCAGTTCACAACATTCGTCTGCCGTTAAGCTGTTCCGACCCGCTCATATCTTCCGATCATTGTAAGTTCTCAGCTCTCGAGTTCTTGGCACTGAAGTCTTCTTTTTTTCTAGGTGGAAAACCGTGTCTTGTGCACGATGTTGTCTACAACATGTCCGTTGTGGAAGTAGCAATGCGTGACAAAAGGCTGAAGGTTTTCATGATCGATACAGCAATGTCATGGATCGGACAGAAGTACAGCACTGAGCTGAGCGCTGGTTTGGCCTTTGAGTTTCCTGCCTATGCATAATTCCTAACGACGTTTACGAATTCTAGAGTTTAAGCTGCCAAACATGAAGTACAAAGGAGATTCAGTTCAAAAGCAGTACATTCGTGCCGGTCCCAAGGGTCCTTTGATCAGTGAAATACCAGGTAAAGTTTCTTCCGTGATTGAGGCTGTCTTTCGTATAACCTTTTCGCTCGCTTCAGATGTTGAGGCCGAATTAGAACCGTCATTCCCTTTGCTGGCAAAAAAAGATCAGCTAAAAGCTGATACCTTGGGTTCCAAACAGCAAGGAAGCTTTCGACAAGCTGATGCACCTTCCAGTAACGTGCAATCGGAGGTGAAAGCAGTGCATTTGGTGACAGAGACGATTCAGAACGAGCGATCGACACTGCCTCGAGTTTTGGAGAACAACGCTGAAACAGATGATCCGGCTACTTTGGCAACGATGAGCTTTGTCAGTGAAGAAGACATAGCAAGGACAGCCAGAAAAGTCGCGGAAGAAAACACTGGAGTTGACAGTAGCAGATTAATCACCTCGACGCCAAGTAAGGTGGAGGAGCAGCAAACGAAGCCTGAAGTTTACGAAGAAAGGCCAGTTCCTTCAGCCGATTTTCTCGAAAAGCCTCAGCTTCCAGCCATACAGACCGAGTACCTTGGGCGTCCAGTGGAGTATATATTCCTTCACATCTCGTTTCCTCAGGAGGTAAATTTTTGTTTTTCCTTTGCTGCTAGAGTTTCTCATGAATTTTTACGCAGGCAAACCTTGAGAACTTACAAGTTTGCTCGAGCAACACGGAAGTGTATGTCGAGATACCAAACTACGAAGCAATGCGGGTAAAAATTCGTGATTTATATCCATTGCCTGACCAAAAGCTCGAAGTTTTTCTCCAGGTCCCCCTCATGTTTCCAGTATCGTCAGAAAACGCTGAAGCAGAGCTATCTCCAGACAATGCCGTGGTAACGCTAAAGCTACCATATCTCGGCGTCAAGGGGCTATACTGTTGCGGCAATCGTTAGAGATGGACGGCCGAGATCTCTTCTAGCGCTAAGGTACGGACGGTCACGATTTCTTCTCTTTCATGGTTCTGTTGCCGCCACTTTTTAGGGCTCGTTCATTCCGCTGATAGCAGCGCTTGGACGCGACGATATTTCGATGCTATGAGCACGGCAGACGCAAGATTCTTGCGGAATTTGCAAAGATGCCTGTCCAAGCGGCTCACGATTTGGAGATTTCCAAGGCAGCGGCTCGGCTCTTGACAATGCAGCACCAGGAGAAGCAGCACAAGGATCCAGGTTCTTCCTCCCCGATCTCTCCTTCCGTTTCTCTATTCTCGCCATCGCCATACATCATAAACTGCAAGAGGCGCGCTTGCGGTGGCTGGGACACGATCGCTGGAGCTGCTTGGGAAGGGAAATCCAGGGAGGAAGTCGTAGGCCATGACATCTTCGCTGACGCCGTCCAAGTTCAAGAAAGATTTGTCGTCAATCCGGGACAGCCAGGTACTTGTAGGATCAGCTCTCTCAACGATCAGCTGGTAGAGCTCAAAGACGCGCTGGAAAAATTTATTTCGGAGTGCTCGTCGAGCAGGCCTCAGATTTCTCGGGAGGAAGAAAGGGGCAGTCCCGATGGTGGAGGTGCCACTGCTGGGGTGGATTTTCAAGCTCTGCGGGGGAGAAACGTCCGGGGAAAAATTCTGGCAGAGATTCTTTCGTCCAGGAAGCTGACCAGCATGAAGCTAGAGATCGATGAGCTTTCTACTACCACTCCCAAGGCCGAGGATGACTGTCGGAGCTCTTCCGGATCGCCGTGTGACGAATTTTTCGATGCTCGCGATGCTTCTTCAGAAGGTACGCTGCTAGAATTCATTTTTTTTAGAGATTCTAAGCGACTATTTTTTCTTGTTGGTGGCGCTAGGCTACTCTTCAAACGAGGACGGATCGACACGAAGACACAGGAAACAAATCTCCAGCTCGCCGATCGACCCTGAGCTTGTCCGCCAACTTCACATGGAAGTCAAACGGCGAATGCAAGCGGAAGAGGCATTGCATATCATGGAGCAGTGTCAGGAAAACATTGTCAGCATACTCTTGTCGCCGGCTTGTCCGACACCTCCGAGATCCAGCTCTCCCCAGCCAGTGTCATCGGCAGCGACAATCAACAACGGGCTTGCGAGCTTGATTGAAGAGGACTGGCAGGACGAGAACTCCTTTCGAACAGTCATTGCGACAGTGATCTCGTCGGCTCTCCTTAGAGGCGTGATCCGGCCGGACGAAGCCGAGGCGCTGGAGAAGCTCCTGGAAACTAAAGACCGTGAGAGTTCTCGACTGCGGCGGAAGCTAAAGTTTTTCGAGCACGTCAACAACGAGTTGTCTCGCAAGAACCAGGAAGCCATAGGTAAGTTTTCCGTTTAAGACTCTCTGAAGTGTTCTCAAAGGCCTATCTCAGAACGCGCGCGGAGAATCAGACGGAGCAGACAAAAGTGGCTAAGCGTCTCGGCGAAATGCCTTGCGGTTGGAGTTGCCATTGGAGTGTCCGGGACTTTGCTCTACTGGTACTTCCCTTGGGACAGGCTCAAGTCTGCAAAGAAAGAAGTCGAAGCTCCTCCGGCACAGACATGACTACTAGGTTTGAGTTACATAGAACGCCAATGGGTTGAGGCTGGCGGGCATGGGCTTCGTCACCCCGAGAAGGCCGCGCTTGTTAAGTAAGATGGGAGCTCGAGGTGTTGCTACTGTACGCGAGGCAGTGGCTCAGGAAGAGGAGGTAGTGGCAGCAGGGGACGTCAGGATACCGTTTGGACAGCACCAGGGACAGCCTCTCAAGTCTCTTCCGGAAGGCTACTTGAAGGTCCTTGCGCGCATGGCGAGATCAAAGTGGGGGTTGCTAGCGGAGGAGGTGCTCAGCGAACGGGGAAGCGTGGATGGGTGCAGGCAGAAGGCGAACGCAATCTTAGAGCAGGAAGCCTTTGCTCGCCTTCTCAGAAATGCCAGCAGTTTAGAGGCGGTGGAGCTGGTCCGTGCCAGGATCGACGAAAGCGGCGTTCGTCACAACGCCGAGCTGCTCAACGTTTTGATTCAAGTCTACGGCAAGTATGGATGCCTGGTAGAGGCAAAGCAGGTTCTAGACGGCATGCGCTATCAGAATGGAGAGTCGTGGAACACCATGATCCTCATGTACGCTCAGAATGGACGACTGGAGGAGGCCAAGAGGACTTTCGATGCAATGCCAGTTCGAGACGCCGTCTGCTGGATCACGATGCTGAGGGCTTATGCCGCGTTCGAACTTCCAGGACTCGCCAGGGTAGTGTTTGAAGCCATGCCAATGCACGACTTAGAATCAGCGACAGAGATGATGGAGGTCCTTCTGTCGAAGGAGGAAAGACATCGAGTGAAGCTGGTCTTTGACGAGATGGTGGAAAAAGATGTCTGCGCTTACAACAGTATGCTTCGTGCATATACCCAGGAAGGGCATTCGAATCGGGTGAGAGCCACAGCGGAGAAGATGCCAGAGTGGGACGTGGTGACGGTGAACACCATGCTTCAAGCGTTTGCCAGTGAGGGGTCTCTGGAGAACGCCGAACGTTTGTTTGACGAGTTTCCTGAGCGCAACGAAGAGACCATCAGTATTATGCTGAGAGCATACGCCGCGTCCGGATGCTCTGAAGCAGCCCAGGCAATGTTTGATCGGCTTGTACGTCGGAACGAGGAGCTCTGGACATTTCTAGTCACCGCGTACTCCAGAGCCGGGCAAGCAGCGGAAGCAAAGTTGGTGTTTGACAAAGTTCCTGGCAAGAGCGACCTTTCGTGGGCAGTCCTAACTGAAGAGTACGCCCAGAACTTGCAGCTGGAAGATGCAGAGGCCGTGTTTGACAAGGTTCCGAAGTGGAGCGTCCGATCGTGGATTGCTATGATATGGGCCTACGCTCAGAGCGGTCACGAGCAAATGGCCCGGATCATTTTTAACAGGTGCTCGACTTATGACGCGGGGGTCTGGAACGCATTCATTGCAGGAATGACTGTGCTGGGCCGTGCCAGAGATGCGATTCAACTTCTCAGAGGTATGAATCTGGAAGGTTTCCCTCCGGATAAGTTTACGTTCCTCAACCTTCTCAATGCTTGCAGTGCTGAGTGCCTGGCCAGGCAAGGTGGTAGTCTTTTCAAGGAGATGGTTGCTGATCATGGCATGACTCCGTGGAAAGATCACTACAGTGCAATGGTCGAGTTGCTGGGCCGGGCCAAGTATTTAAAGATAGGACAAGTTCTCGCCAACAGCATGCCATTCGAGCCGGATTATGCAACGTGGAAAGCTCTCTTTCATGCTTGTCGGCACCACCGAGACTTAAAGCTTGGACTGCGAGTTGCAAAGGAGCTTATTCTCTTGGATAGACACAACGCCCTGCCGTATACTCTGCTAGCAGAATCATATGCAGCAGCTGGCAAGCAGGATAAAGTGGCTGTCATCCAACGCGTGATGGAGAAAACTGGAATTAAGAAAAACTATGCTGCAAGCTGGATACTTGTCAAGGGCAAGTTCCAAAACCTCATGATCGGAGATGCTGGACATCCGGAGAACAGCGAGATTCGTGCTCAGCTCAGGGAGCTGGTTGACAAGATTGGGAAGGAGGGATACAAGCCCGACACAACGCTGGTACTGGATAAGAACATGTCCGAAAAGGAGAGGGAGGACAGTTTACTTGATCACAGTGAGAAGCTTTCGCTTGCTTTCGGCATGGTCAGCACCAAGCCTCGGTGCCCGCTTCGAATCATCAACAGCTCGAGAGTATGCTCCGACTGCCACAATGCTCTCAGGTTGGCGTCGCTAGTAACTGGCCGGCTCATCGTTTTAAGGGACGACTCTCGGATTCATCACTTTGAGCGAGGCAAATGCTCATGCAGGGACTTTTGGTAAGAGCCGATGTTTCTTTTCGTGGTATTAAAAGGGTTTCCTGCAGCACGATGCGGTGAGATGGAAAGTGACACGAATTTTACACCTGAAGGTGCCTTTCACCAGAGGAACAGATCGATATTTACATTTGCAACGTGAGAAAACTGTTCCTCGGGCGCGGCGTGGCTGGCGCAGAAGGGAAAAGTCATCGTTCTCATTGGAAAAGGGATTGGGGTCAGAGGAAGCGGACGAGCTGCGAATCTTGCTAAAGTTTCACGGCATTGGGAGGCAAGATTTTTCTTCCATTTTGATGGAACCTTCTGCCAATACATGATTTGAGGAGGAAGGGAGGAAAAGGTCGGCATACGTTCGTACGTATGGTAGTGTAATCGAGCACTCAACTTGGTTTCGACGGTTACTTCTAGCTATACAATTTCGGCACTCCGTTCGTCGCTCGTGTAGTAAGAAACTTCTGATGGTGACAGAATGCGGATCCCTCGAACAGAGCTGACGAATTCTCTGCAAGCAAGTAAAGTAAGTATCCTTTTCATTTCTGTTTTCTTCTCTAATAAATACTAAATGTGACTTACTCCCAGGGATCATCGCCAACAAGCAACAGATCGTTCTCCTTGTCCACGAAAACGAGCTGCCATCCGTTCCTCTGATCGAGTTGTCCATCCAATCCAAACATTCTCGACAATTCGGCCCGGAGTTCGACGTAGTTCTTGAAACGAGCCACGTCTACGGCCCTTCCGATCGAGCCAAGCTTGTACACCTGGAAGTCGATTATCACGAAACAACGATCAAACTCCGAAAGGATAAACTAAGAAGGCAGGAAACGACGGACGGACCTTTGTGAAAGTTCTTTGACGCTGATGCTGAAGCTGCTGCTGCTGCTGCGGAGGCTGGTGGATCGGTTTGGGCTGTTTGGAAGAACTATCAGCGACAATACAACTATCTGGTGAAGATGACGAGACAATGTTCTTCAAGTCGGCAATCACCTGATCGACCACCGCGGGCGACGGGCTCAGAGGCATGTTGTTCTTCACGGCGATGGACATGCCTCCCTGGCTCCTAAAATTCCCGGAGGGTGGCATCATCATATGAGAGCCGTTCGCAACACCGGGACCAATACTGAAACATCCCCCGCCGCTCGTTGTTGCAACTGGAGTTTGGGGATCCTGCTGCAAGATAACGCTGTTCTCAGGACTCATGAGCTCTTGGTGAAGGTGGTGGTGGTGATGAAGCTGCTGCTGCTGTTGGTGGTGGTGATCCAGCGCTGCGGTGACATTTACGGTGCTGTTGAAGTCACCACCTAGCCAGATTCCTGCTCCGGACCCAGCCAAATTCGCAGCGAGAGCTCCTGGAGGTGGCGGCGACGCAAACCACTTTGTGGTGGCGGTGGAAGGACTGGATTTGAGGGACTGCTGCTGCAAGTCCTTGAAATCCGGGACACTAGCAGTGCTCCTCATGGGGCTGGAGGACATGGTGGTCACAGGCTTGCTCACAGGCTTTGGAGGTGGAGTGGAGGGAAGAATCACAGCCGGAGGTGGTGTGGAGGAGGAGGATGGAGGATTGATGAGGGAAGAGGGGAAAATCACAGGAGGAATGCTCATCATCAGCTGTTGAGAAGGCATCATCATGATCTTGGAGGAAGAACAGGAAGCTAATGGATCCACCAGAGCTACATCACTGGTTGTGGAGATTGAGGAGGAGAGTGGATGCAAAGATGGGGGATACAAAGATCTGGTGTCAAGCATGGAGAGTGGGCTGTTGGTGGTGAAGCTGGGATTTTGGTGGGATTGGAAGGATTGTGGTGTGCTTGGAGGATTGTTGGTAGCACCACCACTGCCAGTGGTGATTGTGGTTGTGGCTGCTACTGGTGGATGATACTTGTGGTGCTGCTGGCCAAGTTTGGAGGTGTCAATACTGCTCCTGATTTCTTGGAGGGCGATTGCTGCCATGGCCCTTTGCTGCAAGCTGAGAGCAGCCCCTGCTTGAGCTGAAGTTGCTACCACTGGGATCTGATCACTTGAATCTCTTTGCTGCTGTTGTTTTTGGTGCTGCTGGTGTTGATGTTGTAGTTGTTGCTGCTGCTGCTGATGGTGATGTTGGTGTTGTTGTTGCTGATGATGTTGTAATCTAAGAAGCATTTGATGATCTAGAAGTTGCTGCTGCTGTTGCTGCTGCTGCTGCTGCTGCAAATTCATACCTTGGGGATCTTGAATCCACGAGACTCTCGACATTTTCCTCAGCTCCTCTTCGCTCGAGATACTGTTCTTCCGCTTCCGTGTGGGACAGTCCATGCTGCTGTCGCTGCGGTCTTTTCAGTGCTCATCACTAGGCACTAATGACGATGATAAGCCGTGCTCTCTTGTTATGTGTGTGTGTGTGTGTTGGAGAGCAATGCGAGCACTTGCCGGATCAAGGCATTTGCTGCCGGATCGCCATTATGGGATGAGCAGTGCCTTGCCTACAAGAACGCACGGTTTGGGGATTCTAGGCCTCCTCGCAAAGGCTAGAGTCGGGTACACACACACACAGAAGGAGACATACACGCACAAGACAAGCTTATATGATCTTTCTTTTCATCTATCTTATTTTCTCTCTCTTCAAATCTTGAAACTCCTTTTCTGAAGAATTGCTGAGCTTCTGCGCTGCTGCAGTCAATTCCAATCACAGCGCTTTACTACTACAAAGAAATGCCTTAGATGCAAACTCTCTTCGCAATTGGGGTTACATGGAATGCTCTCTTTCGGGGGATGGATCACTGTGGATTGGATGGCTTCCAAAACAGACACGCAATTTCCAAGTTGAGTGTGTGTGCGGGCGTGAATGTGGGGACATTGACACCACATGAATCAAAAAATTGACACCTCCCAGGAGAGCAACGCTGGCTGCCTGCCAACTTTGAATCGTCCAAACAATGGGGCTTTGATATCATCCATCCGTACCGCGTCGGTGGATGGCCCTGGCATCTCTCTCTCTCTCTCTCTCTCTCTCTCCTGTGTTCGAATTTCCTGGAAGAATTGGGTGAATGTTTTTGCTCTCTGCATTTCATTGGAAGATTTTGGTGAATGTTTTTACTACATTTTTATTCTTTCCTATATTTTGGCTGGAGGGATTGCTACTGGCTCTGATTGTGCCCTACAGCGACACTCTTGTTTCCCTTACAACGCAAAATCACCGACTTTTAATCTCTCTCCGGAAATCCTCCTCCACTTACTTGCAAGCACCGGTCCACACAACCTTAGCAAAAATCAAAGCTCGTCTGCTGGCCGGGAAGGCCAACGGGCATTTTGTCTTTATGGTTGCATGTAGCGCACACCAGACTGCGCAGCTGTATGTTGGGACCCCACGAAGGAAAGAAAGTGAAGACTTTCGTAAACACATAAGTTGCTGTATTACAAACTTAACCAATATTAGCCATCATTGGAAAATGAAAGAAGTTGGGTTGGGAGACTTGTCCTTGTTTGCTGCTGTTTGTATGTATGTGATTTAATAAGGCTGTCCTGTTTCTTTTGATATACATATATCATTTCTTATTAGTTTTTTTTCTGGATCTGGCCTGGTCCTCTTGCTGCTCCTTCTGCTTCTGCTGCGGCTGCTGGAATGCCCTTTCAGGGCAACTTCTGTCCACTGGCTGGTTGATGATGGGTATATCACTGGTGGGTTTCCAAAAGAAATGCTACGGTTGTCGGGCAGAAGTTGCTGCAGTTGCCGAATCCGTGCCATTGAATTTTGCTGATTACAACTCAATTACAGAGGGAAAAAGCATGAGCCTGACAGCATCTTAATCGATTGGCCGTGCACAGTTGCACAGTTACTATTTTGGCACGGGTTCTTGACTTTTGCAGTGGGATTTGAACTGGATGTGATCACGCATGGGTGAGAAAATTTGCAGCAATCCATCCGTTGACTCTTTCGCAACTTCTCTAGGCGTTGTTTAAGCTAGATTTCTGTGTCGTTTCTCAGGTGACAGGAAAACAAAGCACGCAAGCAAGAAAGCGAGAAGAACAAGCAAATGAGGGACAAAAGAACCACACACTGTGGCTTTTGTTTTTATCACACTATTACAATATTGGAGAAAGTGTTTTCAAATCGTTAATGATACTTAATTTCGCTTCTGCAAGCCTTCGTGGAAGCACAAAAGCCCCACTCCCTCCAACATGGTTTGGGATTAGAGGCCGGTTCTTGTCGGAACATCGTCGAACTTACAAGAGACAAAGCTGGAAGTTGGTTGTTTCGTGATCATGATCCCATAAGCAATGCCACTATAAAATTTGTATTCTTTCTGGTTACACAGTCCCAAAATACAAATTGTATAGGTTGATTCATCATCACCAGACTTTTGACCAGTTCTCGTGAGACAAAATCAAGTTTCATAAAAAAAAAATTAAAAATCATAATTTTCATCATGTTCTTCTTGTTTTGTTGATATGCGTCGTCTTCCACGTACGGAAGCGGGACATATCTCATCTAGCTGATGAAAGAGAGCGAGAGAGGAAGACAGCTTCAAATTTATTTTATATTTTTAATTCTTCGATGGACAACAAGAGCGTTGATGATCTCTCTATCAATTAGCTTTTCATAGTTTCAAAAGTTACTTACTTGGAGTCAAACTGATGCCAAGTTGGAAAGTCTCCAGAAGTCAACATCATGAAACCCGAGTGGATATGACTGCTAGCTATATAGAATGGCATTCATCTTCTTGATCTTACATCTCTATCTGGGGGCCACTCTTTGAAATCCCTTGGCTACAAAACCTCCAGCAGTCCTATGGACAGCTTGGCGCCTTGTCTCCTTCTGGAATTTTCTGTCATTATAGGTTAATATTATTACTGGTTTTAGAATTTCCATCATGTTTAGTAAAAATACACATTGTTCCATGTGTATAGTAACTGAGGGGGGAGGAATACCTTGGGTAGGGGGCATGGCAAAAAATTATATTTATATTGCAATATATTTCAATTTAAAACACATGTGTGTTTGAATTGGTTATACACACATGTTTGACTCACAAAAAAACCTTTCCACTTTTTATCAAAACATATATATATTAGCATGCACCACATATAGATTCTTAATCCATGTAAGTTTATTGTCACATTAGCATCTTCTTCTTGGCAAAATGATTAATTTATCAGCCTGATAGGAAGTGCAACTAAACTATGCATCATAGACACTACCCACAATTGGCAATAAGCCTCCACATATTGGTTAATATCCACTACCAGCTGCGCCAATTTAGTAACACCATTACCACACTAGAGTATTTGATTAGAGCTCCTGATATTGTGGGGGCACTAGGCATGCACTCACAATCTTTAACAGCTTCTAAAGTCTAGCTGATCTCTACAAGAATTGTGAATGTAGCATGTATTATGAAATGGTGCTCAAGCTCTTCACTAAGAACAATGGTTT